AGTATCTGACTTAGGAATGGATAGCTTTCCTTTGAGGTCATCAGTGATGAAAGTTCTCGCAGCCTGTAAGATAGGTTTATATCCGGTACATCTGCAAAGGTTGCCATCTAGATGACCTTCCAGCTCTACATCATTTGCAGATAGTTGAAATGACTTTGACAGAGGATCGTAGGAGTTTCTGATTAAAGCATACAGTGACATGACAATACCAGGAGTACAAAAGCCACATCTAGAGGATTGCAATTAGTTTAGTTCACAGGTTATACTGTGGTAGTAAAGTATCTTACTGCGACCCGTGTAATTTTGCTATACGTTCTTGCAATGGGTGCGGATTTTCTGCATTTCCAATGCCTTCGATGGTGATGATATGCTTCCCAACGACTTTGATTCATTAACCTTGGAAGATCGATACATATTTATGAATAATTACCTCCTATTAAAGGGAATAGACAAGCGTTCACGGCAACGTGCTGTATCTTTTGACTTTCGGAAGATTTATTAAAAGTTTGAAGCACAACAGTACACGCTCCGCATCCTCCTTCACCACATCCGAGCTTTGTACCCTTGAGATCATCCTGGGATCTGATAAAATCCAAAAGTGTCCATTGAGGATTTGGGTTATGAAGATTTATTCTTGTTCCATTTAGATAGAATTCCAATGTAGAATCTTTGAATATTGCCTGAATTTCCGATTTTAATGGTAGGATTCCCATAGTTGATGAATGTAGGAAGTCAAGTGCAACGATGAGCCAGAAGACTAAGGGAATTCTGTTTGGGAAGCCATATTGCTCGAGTGGCTTAATACCAAGTCAAGCATTGTACAGCTGATAAGTTCGGATTGGCTACTCAAGTTGTTGAGCAATGAGGATGGATGATCATGTCTTCAAAATGGATGGTGTTGTGTATGCAGGGCAATGTATTGGTGGTACGAAGTAGTTAGATTAATTACAGGGCAGAGAACGATAGGCTTAGTGCCAACCGATTAGCTATCACGTAAGCTACTCGCCCCCTGTTAGAAGAAGAAAAACCATATCAGCACAACAAACCACTCCACAAACCACTCCATCTCGTATCCAACCACAAACGATCATCCTATCATCAACTCGTGAATGCAGGACCATGTTAGCTTGAATGTACACTGACCCGAATATCAAAGGGTCAATCTGAGGATGATACTTCTAGTGCGCTGGTCTATTCTACATGGGAAAAGAGTCCGGATGACCCTGGAAAGCTATGAGGGGTTATTCAACACTCGTCATATCGTGTGCGACGTATACGGGAGGTATTATTTGCTTATTTGAAAGCTGCCAGAAGGTACTAGTGCCTCCAGAAAGTATATAACTCCGAAGCTCGCTGCACATACCACAAAATGGGTAAACTACGAGAGGAGTAACCTTTATATCTTAGCGGCGGGGTTGCATACTTTCTCGCAGCACGGGTGTTAGGTGCAAGGTCCATAATAATGGCCATTCCCGAGTCGAAAGCTATGAATTGCTTCATCGCAATCCGATGTCACTGTTCAAGGAGGGGTCGAGTGCCTACAATTTAGATGAACAGGGAAGGAACACATGTGGTGCTTGCTCTTGGATGGGAGACAGCTTATCAACCTCAAAGTTCTCCACAACCCGCCATAGTCCTTGTGCTACACTATCTTTCACTTGTCTTTGATAATTTGCCTTTTCTTTTGAGTGCAGCTCACATCGCAAGTCGTTTGGCAGACTCCATGAGGTCTACGTGTTTTAAAGACTTATCGCGTGCAGTCTCCACATTTTCTTTTTCAAACATGGACTCAAGTGTAAGAGAAATTTGATGCCTTGAATATTCTTAGGTACATGGCATTTGTAGTACATTTGGCAATCACCGTCGATGAAGTGCCAAGATTGCGCTGTCTCGACGCCCTAACGAAGTTGATTCCGTCAAGCCGAAGAATTCTGGTTGGTCGACTTTTGTTTCTCAGTAGAGGAATGCCACTGGGTCAGGCAGGGTAAGATTTTGTTTTGTACATAGAGGGTGTTCAGCTTTGATACTGGAGGGTTTGTCCGGAGGGTTTGTCCGCAGTATCCTCCTACCATGCTTTTTTTTTCTTTCATGAAGGAATGAGCCACTCTACCAATAGTCAGTTATCTATCTTTATTCGCTGTATCGAAATGAATCAACACGGAACGAATATGCTAGCGAGACATCCACAATGGCTACGAGAGCCTGATCAACCATCTGTTCTACGCCCTCACACTGCACATAGGTCCAGAAACGTAGTCGCAGACTTAGTTCCTTGTGCCATGAAACAACATCTTTGCGGTCCAATCACGTACCCACAGATACACACTGGGGTAGGTGTGTTCTGTTACTTAGGTGTATCCCGTTAATTCTCTAGGTAGCAGCTTTATTTGTTGTCTAGACTTTTGATTAATTTTAGATCGTCAATATTTCAGACTTATTTAAGATATTCTATTGCTTCGTTCCCGCATGGAAAACGTTTTTCATTCTGAATAAGTAGCCTCACAATTGGCTTTTCAGGAATTCACTATAGTAGTCCTCCAACCACTTTGCGACCTCGGCGCCAACATCTTCACTTCCGTTACTAGACATATCAAACATTTTGAGAGAACCAACGTATCCATCTGGTCTGACATTTAACACAACAATCTCACCATCTTTGACGTCGCCGACCCATTTTTTTGTACAGCTGTCTTTGTATAAGTAAGAATCCCCACGGTCTTGAGTAATATCGTCCAAATAGATTGTCCAGCTGCTTTCTTGCAAGCTTGTTGGTAAATCCGTGATCTCGAACTTTTCTCTATCCATCCCCGTCACCAATGCATATGTAAATAGCCTACTTACACCTATATACCTGATTGGTTGAGTATATTCATCCGCTTCAGTCTCTTTTTGTGTTAAGGAATTTGCGGCAATAGAAGTGCGGTCGAGGGCTTGTGTAAGATTAGAAAATCTTTGAAGAATATAACCCAGGCAATCAGACCATCGATGAACGTCTGATACAAAGAAAAAGATGCGGAATTGCCCAAGCAGAGGAATATCAAGCTGTAAATCGACAGGGTTTGCATCAACATATCTGGTCACTCTAGCGGGTGGTAGCAGCGCACCAGGTCGCAATACACCACCACTTCTTTCGCCGCTCAATCTTATTTTAGATCTTTCGGGTTCTATTTCATCGAGTTCTGCGTTCAGAACATTCTCGCCATATTCCGCAAGCCCAGAAATAAATCTAATATTTTGAGCAAAGTTCTCGGCAAGTGCTACTGGGTCTCCAGCAGAGTAAGCATTGGCATGTTCGAAATCAAACGCGAGGAGATCTCGAGCAACAGCCTGTCGTTCTTGTGTATATGTTTCCAAAAGAGAGGGGAGCGCAACAGATTTGATGGTAAGGGCTAGTTTCCATGAAAGATTGAAGGAGTCATGCATTGATACATTCATACCCTGCGCGGCTTTTGGGGAGTGGTTGTGTGCAGCCTGTTCTATTATCAGACTCGGATGAACATTTAAGATGGTGTATGGTCACTTACATCTCCAACAATGAAAACGCGCTGTGTATCATCTGAGAAGCGTTTGGCTGCTCGCTGTCCAAATTTATACACAGCAAACCATTCTATAAGGTCAGTAATCTTTACAATCATTAGGGAAAGAAAGCTCTCTTACCAATACGCTTCCACGTCAATCTATATGGACTGAAAATCTCCTCGGCTCTCTTCATCACAAAATCTTGAACAACTTCTTTGGAGTCCTCCTCTGCTGTGTCTTGTAACTCAATATAGAGTCTCGTCATATTTCGCTCCCTTGGAATGGAAAGAATCGCTCCTTTCTCCGATTGAACTATAGTCTTACTCCATAAATCCGGAAATTTCGTTTCGATTACTGCATCCAAAATGCCCCATACACTCCCACTCTGATCTCCTTCCATCTCTGCACCGTCAATGCATTTTCTTACATTCGAATGCGCTCCATCGCATCCCACAAGATATTTTGTTTTCAAAACCTTATCTTCACCTGTTTGGACATCTTTGTACTTTACGACTATATCCTCATTTTCAGATTTCGGCTGCACGAGTCCAACGAAAGAAGAATTTCTTTGTACCTCAACTCCTCGGGCTCTCAGATCCTGAATAAATACATCTTCAATCATTCCTTGATGAATAAGTAAAAGATTCGGATCCAACAAATCGACTATATCTTTTGGGTAATGAATTTCTCTGGCCGTACGATGAAGCTTTTCATCCGCCGTGGATTTCTGCTCATTGTTAACTTTCCTTTGCGCAAGCAGAGACTCAGCCGTAGAGTATTTACCCAGTAACAGATATCATACACCTTGACACCTCTCTCAAGTAAAGAATCCGCAAGACCGAGTTGTTTAAGTGTCTCGATGGTTTTAGGTTGCAAGCCATCGGCTCGACCGGTTGCAGTTGCAGAAGGTCTGTCATCGAGGATGACGACCTGGATTCCGTAGCGTGCAAGAGTGCAACTTTATTGTATCAGAAAGGTGTAAATAGGAGGAAGTACCGGACTCACTTACGCTAGCATGAGACCTGCTGGGCCAGCTCCGATAACAGTCACCTGATTTAGAATATCCATGGTACTCGTTTCGACCTATTTAGAAGTGACTTTGACAAGTAGAATTCGAGAATTAATTTAATCGGGATACCTCCGTTAACTATAGGCTCAAAAAGACATAGCAAACGACGGCGCAAATGTAGTACATCATAATCAAGTCCTTGTCAAGTTCCCCAGATAGGAAGATTGTCTAATCAAGCGCTGAGTACATTATTACCTATCAATTCTGCAAGAGTCAAGCTCGGAATTGTGCATCATGTAATGCCAACACATGGGATCTCCGGTATTCTTACCCAATCAAGAGAGGTACTGCGCGTGAGAGGGGTAACACCACTAGTGGACTAGGCGCTGTGGCGATCAGATAGGCGGGGTACAGATGCCTTGATCATTGGTGAGCGTGTGCTACGATATCGATGTAACTTATCGATGATCTCGCCGTGCATGTTCTGATGGTGTTAAAGAAGTCCTTGAGACTGATCGTGAAGCTTATCCATTTTAGTATTTTCAGCTACTTGATTATGGAATTCCGTTGAGAATCGTCGGGTATCAGTCCTTCAATCTTAGAAGATATATGGTATTTCATTGTTAGATACCGCTTTGGTCGTTTTGTTGTTATTTTGTATACACCACGAAATAAGATTCATATATTTCAAGTACCATTATGTCTGCCTCAACTCCAGTGAAAGAGAAAATCATCCGCAACGAAGAAAATAAGCTTAAGGTGACTTCAATTCTGACTCCCATAATTCAATCGCTGCCAATAGCACTAAACATGAACCAAGGTGATAATTGTCGGCGCTGGCCTCGGTGGTTTAGGCGCTGCAATTGCCATATCTCTCGCCGGTCATTCCGTTACCGTCCTCGAATCTGCCCATGAAATCGGAGAAGTACATTCTAATTTCCTCTGTCCCAAAAATGCTATTTCGTAGCCCAAAAACTATCAACTAGCTAACTTCCAGCTCGGCACTCACAGGTGGGTGCTGGCATCCAAGTTCTCCCTCCCACATCTCTCATCCTCCGTGACTGGGGACTGCTCCCTCACCTCTCTGCTCACAGTACCTCTCCAACAAGAGTCAACATGATTTCGTGGAAAGGCAATTTGATCTCGTCGATGGATTTCAGAGAGAGTGCGGCGCAATATCCGGGCTCCGTGTATTGGGATTTTCATCGCGCGAATTTACATAGAGGATTGTATGAGCGGGCGTTGGAATTAGGAGCCAAGGTAAAAGTAGGAATGAGAGTTGTGGATGTGGAGATTCTAGAGAATGGGGCAAGAGTTGTGGTTGAAAAAGGTAGAAGTGAAGAGAGAGAGGAAGAGAAGGGAGACTTAACCGCAGATTTAGTGGTTGGTGCGGATGGAATATTCAGTAAATTGCGAGAAGTGATGTTAGGACGAGAAGACGAGCCACATTTGACGGGAGACTTGGCTTACAGGTTATTGCTATCTACTAAAGATATGCTAGCGGACGAAGACTTGGCGGATTTCGTAAAGAACCCGCAGGTAAATTATTGGATGGGTCCAAAAATGCATGCTGGTAAACATATTCCTCTGTTCCATCTCTGATTTTGCTGAGATGCCATTGAATTGACATGTGTACTAGTGAACTATGTCCTACGAGGCGGTGAACTGTTCAATATGGTTCTTCTCGTTCCAGATGATATGCCGGCTGGTGCCACAACCTTGGAAGGCAATGTGGAGGAGATGCGTGCACTATTCAAAGATTGGGATCCAAGGTAATTACTCACTTTTCCAGAAATCTTGCCCTTGGTGATATTCCATCCATTGACTTTGGCTCAGAATTCCCAAATTACTCAGCATGTGTGAGTCTGTGTACAAATGGCGTCTTTGCACTCGCCCTGGTCTCGATAACTGGAGCCATCCCTCCGGTCATTTCACTCTTCTTGGCGATGCGGTTCATGCTACGCTTCCTTATCTTGCTTCTGGGTAATTTCAGTTTTTCCTTTTCGAACTTTGAGTATTGCCATGATTCTTTGGAATTTTGTTATTGCATATATAGTCAGTTCGCAATGATCACTTGAATCATTGAGTCTCTTAGTTGGGAAACTCACTTGATCTGAAATCTAAGAATCAATCGATGAATCGTCATCCCACCTCATTTCTCATCGCTTTCAGAGATCTAACCCCTTCGACAGCGCAGGAATGTCACTCGAAGACGCCGCTGTCCTCGGCGAGCTCCTCTCCCACTATCCCGATTCCTCCTCCACTCTTTCTCCTACATCAAACTTCAAATCATCCTTCCTCCGACATACCCTCCCCATCTATCAAGCCCTACGCGCACCACGTACTCAAACCGTCGTCGAGCGAGGAAATACCCAACAATATCTCTACCATCTGGACGATGGTCCGGAACAAATCGAAAGAGATCGGAAGATGCGAGAGCAAGAAGAGGGAGAGGCATTGGCGTGGAGAGATAAGGGGCTTGCACCATGGTTACTGGGATATCGCGTTTCGGATGCGGTGAGTGATTTTGATTTCGACTTTATCACAGTCAAAACGATGGTTTGAAAGACTGATAACCTATGTTAGGTCGAAAAATTGTGGATTCCTTTCAGAGATCAGGCTGAGGATGAAATTAGGACGGATCTTGGGGCCAAGAACGACCGAGAAGGTCGAGATGCTAGATTATGATATCAAACATGTGTATATATATAATTACCTTCATCATACAACCAAAAAATATCTGGGATGGCATACGTGAAAGCTTCATCAGTGGCGGAACCAGAGCTAATGTTAGCATCACAATGCAGGTTAAAGCCGCCAAATTTAAGGTAATTTCTGGAAAACTTCCTCCATGTGGAAATCATTATAGCCGAAATTTTGAACGTATTGAGATATCTCCTAATGCGGGCGCTACGTTTATCGCTGCCTGACTAGGGACTTCTAAGAGTAAGCCTCATGCAGCACCTCTTTCAATTCTATCAAGTGACTCTACGTGTGCTAATAATTCCTCAGTTGCGGCCTTGACTGTTCGTTTGGAGGACTGTGCTAGAGCAATATTTTGGATGCGACTACACAGTTGTAAGTAGAACCTGGCTGGAAGCTTGACCCTATTAGGTAGAATTCAGTCGGCGACTGTCCGTCAATTTGTTGGCGGTTCTCAATGAGAGTCTATTCTCTATTGAATGACCGAGTCCCAATGATTCATTGTAATCTGGAATCGCCCGCGAAACTTCTCGGTCAACAAGACGTCCACAATTCGATTATATTTGTCCGATTCACTTGATCGGTAGTCCTTTTCGGAGAAATAGTTATCACAAATTAGCATTCTAGAAACTTTTTTTAAAAGGTATCATTCGCGCTAGTGAAAACTGTAGTTCAATACACTCATTCCATTCATCTACATAAACACTTTTATAACCAACGCTGCCTTCGGCTTACTCGTCAATTTCAACAGATTAACTACCTTCCCCATCTGATAATGACACAGGAAGAGCTAGGCCCACCTTCCTACCGAATCCCTGCGACCATGAACCATCGTTCGTATACACCAAATAGAGAACCCAAAACATGGATATGTATGCACCGAGAATTAAAAGGATATTATACACGTGTGAAGATTCTCCATGCATCTTGGTAAAACTTTGTTTAAACTCATCAATCGTAATGGAAGAAAGAGATTTCTATTGAAGGAAGTCCATGATCTGTGAAGCACGTTATATCTTGCTCACGACCACATTAAGACAATCCAATACCTGTGATATGTCAGTAAGTGTAGTTGTGAAAAAGTTTTGATGAACTTACTCCCTCGGCAATGACTCCTTGATTGTAAAGATGCTTGCTAATTCCTTTAACTAGCTCCATTTGTTCTTCTGGTGTCAGACCGTTGATCACTGTTTCAATGACACCCCCAAGTGAGACTTTGTAGATGGCAATGAAGCTGTGAAAGTAGACGTAGGCGAAGAAACCCATGATAAATTGACAATCCATGCGATCAGTAATTCCACCGTGTCCAGGAATTGAGTCGCCAAAATCCTTGATTTTAAAAGTGCGTTTGAGTCCAGAAGCAAAGAATCCACCAAATGGTGCAATGAGTGATGCAAAGGTACCAAAGACGAGGATATGACCCTGCATGGGTGCTATGGAGAAGGATTTCAAGACTGGAAACCAGATAGGAAGCTGATAGGTATGAGGCAAGAAAACTGGGTTTGGAGTACACTCAAGACCAGTCCAGAGGTTGGCACCAAGATCCTGTCAAGTGTTAGTTGCCGTAGGAGTATCTGATTGGAGACTCGACTTACATTTACTGGACAAATAAAGTATTTGTATCGCATGAGGACGTTGGTCATACCGACACCGAAAATGACTGTCAGAATCCAGGCACCAACAAATCCTTCCACGGTTTTCTTTGGTGAGAGTTTGATGAGCTGAGTTCGACCGAATGTGATACCACAGATGTAAGCAAATATATCATTGCAGATGACAAGAGATACTGGTAGGAAGAACCAAATCATTCCCTCGAAAACATTGTTCATGATGAAATGGGCTTGAACCACAATAAGGTAAAGAGCCATGTGAGTCCAGGCGAATTGTGTAAACTGGAACTTGTAATGTCCTGCTTGGAGAGAAGCGACGAAAAATACAAACCCTTCACACTGTTAGCATTGCACAATCTCTTTCCCAGATATTTTCCCTACCAATAGTATAGAGCATAAAGCTGATGAATCTGTGATGTGTCGCAAAGGGCAGCAAGACTTTATCGACCAATACAATGTGCTTGAAATAGTAAATCACACTCTCGCCATATAAGAAGTACATCGTCGTCGCCAACCAATACCAATTCAACGCCTTGGTGAAACGCAATCGACGAGCTCGGCTGGGAACGTTTGCAATCGCAATGACTTCCTTGAACGATATTATCTGTACTGCGGTGACAATTGCAATGATGTATATGTGCCCCATGAACATAGATGCAAAGAACCCTCCTATCATCACAAATGTCCATATCGATCGTGTAATAAATGTCTGCTTCTTCTTTTCGTATTCTGACGGCACAACCACATTACTCTGCGGGCCCAAGTCATTAGCCAGCGCTCCCAGATAATGGTAGAGGCGCATATCTCACCTCTTGTTTTTTCTCATCGCTTGCACCATCTGTCTTCGAGATCTTTGGAGAGCTTGGCTCCGAGGCGGCCTCGCTGATATCTGAGAAACTACTTCTGCGACCATCACTACCGGCGCGGCCATTTCGATGATTGAACTTGATTCCCCTTGGTTTTGTCATTTTTGCAGAGCTCAACGAGTACGAGTTTGCAAATTCTAAAGAGGTCTTGGCGGTGCGATTTTCCTCTTCGTCCTTTCAATTATCCGTGTCGCCAAATACCGGATGCGTCGAAAGTTGTCTTCTAGTTCCACCACTCCAGATTCATAAGGACAAGTTATGCTTGAAATAGGACTGCACCGAAAGCAGAATCAAATAATATGGTGAGCTTCGTCAAATTAGTTGAGAATGGGGTGGTTCTGAAGTGGGTGTACTTTTTGGGGGGAGTGATAGGAAGTTGTGGCTCCTCTGCGCTCCTACGTCAGCCCAAAAACCCTGGAAGATCAGAGTGTTTGCTTGTGATATTCGCGTTAATCGAAGCCTGATTTCAGTGAAAGAAAGCAAGCCAAAAATGTTCAAAAATTTCTCAATGGTTTGGGAAGTGGTTTATATTCTATTCATTCAAATTTCCAAGGGAGATTCACTTCATGCAAACATCTATAATACCTCTCAATACTCGTGTTATTGTTATCAGGTTGTTTTATTGTTGATCTACGAGTATGCTACCGGTATTATTAACAAAATAGAAAAGTAGCATTTCAAAGAAATTGCTGCTGCCCCACAATTAAGTGTGCAGATGGATAATTTAGTTCCGATCTCCGAAAAGCGGTGGCAGAAAGTCGCAAGGCTGTGGCTGTATTCAAGTCCTGCTACCTACCAGGTAGTAGGTAATATTAATTCGAGTTGAACTTTTGGATTGATAAAATACCAACTTGTAAACAATCGCCACATCAATGTTTTCAGATAGTTCGATAATCATAGGGATGGGATGGCTCCTCACGAAGATGGAGAGAATAACTTCTCCGATGATGATTTTCTCAATGATATACCAGCAGATGCCCTAGACGAACTCGAGAATAATGCTATAGCATTCACACAAGCCCAGATCAAAGCCCCTCCTTCTTCCGATTATGGGGATGAGTTTGATGACGATGATTTGGATGACGCGGTCGTTATAGATGAAGCCAAAGGTGCCCCTGCGGTTGTGCCATATATACCTCGAAACAATGTCAATCAAGCTGTTCGACAAGAACAATTTCAACAGCAACTTTATGGAGATACAGATATTGTGAATAGGCCAAACAATTGCAGTGGGCCTGCTCGTCCTCGACAACCAGATCACTTACCACAGCCATTTTCGAATCCAATTTCACGAGAGGAGTCGAACCTGTCTCGGCAGACGACTCAATCAGTAGCGGACGGTGACAATGAGGCACTCAGAAAACAAGTGCAGGAGGTATTTCTGGTCGCAAATTATTATCTTGAAAAAGCTCACTGACTACTCTTCAGTTGCAACAAAGAAACAAAACTCTCGAGCAAGAAACCCTATCGAAAAATGGCGAGATCTCAATTCTACGTGGGAAAATAGACAAATCAGAAAAGGAATACGAGCGCACACAAGCAGCGAAAGAAAAGTTACACGCGGAACAATTAGCAAAACTACAAAAAGATAGGGAAGCGGCTGAGATTGCCGCGAGAAATGCTACAATCGAGCGTGATTTCACGAAGCAAGATTTATTCGAAGAGACCGAAAGAGTCAAAAGGTTGAATAAAGCAAAAAACTCTAAGGATGCACAGGTTATGACCCCGAAGAAGACAAAGCCAATGCCATTTAGGGACGGGTTTGATGATGATGAGATTGAGCTCCTGTCTCCTAGCAAGTTATCCCCATCGAAATTTCAAAAACGGCAACCTGGCACGCCTTCGAGAGCAGCAAAGCGGAAACGCAAAGCTAACGACAGCCCTTCAGCTAGTGCTTTAGATATGCTGCCTGTTCCAGATCTACTTTCACAACCACAGAAGACTCCATTGTTGGATGAATCAATATTAGAGAGACTCGTTCTACAGGATGACAGATCGGATTTTCTTGCAGCCATGCTAGATCACCGACCGAACCGTGATCACTTGAGAACTTTAGAAGCATTTGGCAAGCATTCTCTACCATCATCTCCAAATGAATCATTTTCATCCCTGATTCTTGGAGAAATGCCTAGGATCGGTATGAAAAAGCCTATTTCCGAACTACCAGCTGAGTTTTGCTTGTTCCTAATACAATTATGGTCTAAGTGCATGGATGAAAGATGTTACACTCCCATTTATTTATTTGTTGACATTCTCACCTTTGCGCTTGAGTTAAAAACGCTCTCGATTGTACCGCATATCATTGATCAACTCATTCCCCTGGTGCAGAAAACAGCCGATCTTGTCGCAATTCCTCGTTTCAAAGGCGAGCCTTGCGATCCTTATGATAAAGACATTAATGTATCCGCTTGTTTAGCTCTCACTCACCTCGCTGCACTGGGCTGCGTTCCTGAACAGGAACATATAACCAGATTTTGGAAATTGATGAGATGGGACTTTGTTCTTCTTATGCTTAGTCAAAATCAACCACCAGCAGATTTTGAGTGGATGCTGCGAATTCTGTCCACTGGTGTTCTGAAAGATACTTTCGGTAGCAATCCAGACGATGTTCCAAAGTTTAGAGCATCCACAAACGCTGGTCATATTATAGAACGTCTAACATACCCACTATTCGAGGCACCTTGCCTACCTATGAGTGTAGCTAAAGCTGATCCTGATGTTGTCCTTAAACTACGTCTTCAGATTGTATCCTTAATGACTGGTATGACTCGATCGCCCTATGCTGGAAACGCACTTGCTTCCCATCCAACTGCGATTGGTAGACTCATCAGTTTAATAAGCGATGAATTAGATGACTTATATGACCATAAATCAGGTCGTCAGGATAGGTACGAGATTCTTCAATTTTTGCGACTACATCACTAACAATCCCCAGTGCCCGTCTCATTAGTCTCGCAACTCGTCTTTTATTTCACCTCGTCACTCGATATGAAGTCGATATGCAAAAAAAATTATCAGTCATCCGCGGCGGGTCACAAAAGTATCTTCTTTGTCTGGCTAGATTGAACTTTTCAGAGGATGATCTGGTTTTCGAGTCAGGTATTGACCCAGATATCCCTGGGTTTGCATTAGAAATGTTGGAGATGGTCGTTACACCCGAAGAAGGGGAAGCTATACAAGAAGCTTTGTCGAATGGATAAATATCAGTCTGGTGTATTTTTAAGGCATGTATGACTGCATTCGGGTTGGAGTTGGAAATTTCTGGTTACAATAGATTTGGGTTTAGCGAAGCGCTGTGGACTGCCTTTTCTTCGGTCTGGCACCCATTTTTGGTGGTTCAATTGAGGATATACCAATTTTAACTAATGCAAATTTAAAAAGAGAAGTTTTCGCGTGGAAGAATCTCAGAGTATGAGTGTATACAAAGTGCGGTTTCGATCAAGGTCTAGAATCTCCTATTTTTCAAAATTAGGTATACATTACTAAGAGCATTTTGTTAGTATCTCAGGCAAGAATTGAATTTAGATTCGGGAACTGGAATCACCGCAGAGGATTTTAATGTCATTGTTAGAAACACGTGTTGATTGTAAAGCTAGTGCTAGTTTACAGGCTAATGGGGCTTGATTCTTTCTTGAGTGCAAGAATGTCATCGATTTTGCAGTGTTTGGATATTTGCGTGCAACTTGTGCTGTGGCACGAGATCTGGGTTGGGGGTGAAGTAATGGAGTTCTTCTTCTTGTTAAAGTTCGATTATTCGATGTGCTGAAGGAGTGGAGATTTACTGGTGAGAGACAAAGAATGGTTCTCCACGCATAGCATTCCTGTCTTTGGCCTCTGGTAATGTGCAAGATGGCTGGTGTACACGGCTAGTGCCGAGCGTTCGAGTTGGGTAGGGAGATTAGAACAAAGGGAATAAATAATCTATTAAGTAAAGATTCTAAGAACGTAAAATTTTATAGTCGAGTGACATGCTTTCTTCAATGCTAGTCTTGAATCTTAACATCATTGGGAGCGTTGGATCGCGGAACTCTCCATGAGCCCGTCGTTGTCTGTAGAGATTTCTGTCATGAAGATCTGGGACTCTTACTTTAATCGCCTATCGTGGTATTTGCTTCCTACGAATCTTTGTCTATATTCAATAAGCTTCTGCTCTTTTAAAGACTGGCCCTCTCAAGAAGCATTTCCTGCTCAAAAGTATCCATTTAGACACCTCAACTTCTCGTAATTGTGTTATTCAACAAACATTAATTGATTTCCCTTGCCAAAGTTTCACATTCTTTGCAAATATCGATATGAGTGACGGTAGCGAAATTTTTGCCCTTCCACCCGAAGTTCTCGCAAATACCCCCGCTTTAGAGCCGCCGCCGGGCGTAACGGCTCTGTCTGACAATCCAGAAAGTAGGGGATATATACTTATCGTTGTTAATACTATCATGACCTTTGCAATGACAGTATGTTTTATCATTCGAGTATATACGAAGGTGGCGATTCAGCGAAAAGTCACTTGGAGCGATTGTAAGTTTTCTTTTTTGCTTAGTCTGTTGATTATGTTTTAGTAAGCTAATTGAATTATAGTCCTTCTGTTAGTTTGCTATGTAGGTGATATCCTATCAGTGAACCTCACAGCTTCAATCTAACATCCTATTTGCCTTTAGATCTTTGCCTTGATACTTTTTATCACATGGACAATGTGTACGCTTCTTTTTCTGTCTGGTAAATGAGGCACTGACATTCAAGTAGTGGTCATTCCCGGTGGTAATATTGGGTATCATCAATGGGATGTTTCGTTAGCGAATTTAATAACTAAACGGAACTTAGTGGTATGTACTGTTTTATTTCATCAACTTTCATATGACCATTTCCTATCGAACGTATCACTTATATTCTTAGGCATTATACATGAATCTCATTTTCCTTCAGCCCACTTTGGGTTGTATGAAGCTCTCTATATTCATTACGTACCTTGAAGTATTTCGGGGTTTACGCTGGATGCAAATCTGTGTTTACATCGGTGCAACATTCTCTACCGCTTTTTATCTGGCACTCACAATTGTACAATTTTACGCCGCAACGCCCGTCGGCGGAGGAAGATTTGCTAAGATGATATTCATGCCCCGTTTTGCCATACTCAAACGCATCACATTCGCAGTGACTGGTATTGCGTTGGCCATTGATATATACCTTTTTATCTTACCCCTTGTTGCGGTGAGTAAGCTCCGTATACCGACAAAAAGGAAGATCTTTGTGATGATAGGGTTTGGTATAGGATTATCGTAAGTCTTAGCTACTTCCAACCCGCTTAAACATTCTCGCTTTACTGACAATTCCGTAATAGCGCTTGCATTTGTGCTGCTCTAAGTTTTGTGTATCGTTATATCGATCACTGGAGTATCGATAGTACATGGACTTCTCTCCCAGTCATTGTCTTAACGTCAGTCCAAACTCCTTTAGAGTGTAGTACTAATAATGGAGAGGGCTGATTTCAAAACAGATCTGTCGAATTATTTTGCGGCATTATAATAGCTTGTTTTCCATCCTTGCTTCTCTTCTCCCGCACATACAGCAAAGAATTTTCCAGGGTGGGCAACGCGATATCATCCTGTTCATGTGGTATCCGACGCAAAACGTCCAGCACAGCAACCAAGAGCTCACAGTATACAAGTGACCCCTCTGAAGCGTCAAGAGCGACCGATGACCCAAATCTTTACCCTGATCTCGATTTCTTGACAACACCTGGAGATATTGAACGTACCGCTTTGGAAAGGCGCATGGAGAATAAAATTGGACGGGATGTGATTGCTGTTTGATGTATGCTAGATTAGATGCTTGCATATTCGTCAATACTATTCCTGTGGGAACATAACATGAATGGGAATCAAATTGTTAAAATTTATTTATTACGCTCATACCAACTGTACCGTCCAGTCTATGGCGGCAAGCAGAAGTTGTGGGAGGCAATTCTGTGAAATTTTGAGAAGCTTGAGAATTGCCTAGTTCAATGTTCTGGGTAGTTTTCATTACTCTTCTTCCTTGGACTACTCGGATGACACTGGGAGGTTCTTGATATCTGTCAAAGGGTGTATATAAAAGCTTATTTTTGAAAAAAATCTTGAATGCGTCAAATAGTTAGCAACGGTGCCTTGCATGAAAACTCTTATCGTTCAAATGAGAGGAGGTATGTAGTCTGCCTCATTAACGTCAATCTACCATGAACAGAAGTACGAATATGGATTCTTCCGTACAATTTTCTGCGATTGCTTGATTCCATCCAAATCTCACAACAGAGAAATCACCAGCCTGGAGTCCAGCGGCTGCAAGGTTGAATTCCGGAGAAAATCCGTACGAACTATCTTTCATATCTTGAAAAGTAAAAGTATTTACACTTTCAAGAATACTCCGTTTTTCCCATTGAGTTCGGATCTCATAGTTGAAATGGAAGCATGTTGGCAAACGGTCGAGTAGATGCAAAAGACCTTGTTTTCTAAGATCGACTTACTAGCTCTGAAGCGACGGAGCTGGTATTGTACAGAGTCGCCGTTGAAGTGATTTGCGAATTTTTGTTTTTCAACAGATGCGGTTTATAGTAGTCACTTCGGATAAGTAATGAAGTGGACACAAGCGTTGAACAAGTAAGATAGCTTGGAAGTTAGTTTAGTCAGCTTTTTGGAAAGAAAAAGGTTCACATTCGGGATAGGATATTGAATTTCTTGAGTGTATTGTGTCATAATTCGTTTTATAATAATAAATTACTTTTACCTGTAAAAGTATGATTCTAAATATTCCACATCATTTATCATATATAGAATTGCTGATTATGTAAGCTTAATATCTCAGCTATCATTCCTACTGTCTCAATCCCCAATATTTTCCCATCAAAAACGCCTTTCATCAAATCTTTTAAGCAACCCGAACATTCCCCCCTTCACTACCTACCCGGTGGACCCTGTCTAACAATCGAAATCTGCACCGATCTCAAGATTCCTCGTTCTTCATCAACACACTTCATCTCCGAATTATCCCCTCCATTTCTCATCCCCATAGCCGTCGTCGTATTCCCCAAACTAGTCCTCGAAACCCCAGCGTTACATCCCTCCCACTCCTCCACACCATCAGAGTTTTCCTCTCTCCTTCCTTGCCCCCTCGATCCCGATGGCATCCTTCCGTTTTGATTCCACGAAGAACCACTACTCCTCTCTTCATCTTTCGACTCACCCGACTCATCAGAAGACCTCGACAACGAAGACACAAAATGACACATCCTCGACACACGCGGTATTTGCGACATCGTTTTGAAGAATTTCGGCAATGTCGGTAGACAACTCGTGATGATACCAGCTCCTAGCTCTACATATGAGGGAATACACATGATACTAGTGTACCAGGAAGCATCCGGATTTTTCAAGAGTTTCAGGGAAACGAATAGGCGAGCCATGGATGCTATGCATGCCCTGGGGATAAATCAATAAGGTGGGGAGATGTATGTACTAATGGGTATGTACTCACAGAAGCCCTGTTGAGAAAACGGCGGAAACACCAACGTGTTCTTTGAAGCTCATTTGTAGTTTCCAGATGACCGGTTGTGGAAGTAATATAATAAGAAAATCGGTTATAGTGTTCGCCGTCCCCGTCGCTAAGAACAGGTAATTCACATCGAGGCAGTGACCCGCGGTATCCAGAACACTCCAAAACTTAGATATAGGGGTACAAATAAAAATTGTCATGAACAGCAGAATCGTATAGAATACGATAGTGATCCACATAAGTGCATGGCAGCTCCAAAACATTAGATCTCGTGTTCCTGCAGTGAAGAGCCGGACGTATTGTAGCAGTATCGAGATCTTGATTGACATTATCGCAAGACCGAATGATATAGATGTTATGTAGGTACCCTGGTCATTATGAGCTACGATACTTTCGAAAGACAAGAATTATTGTACGTACATAGAGAAAGATTTGATAATCCTTCAATCTGATATCCCATTGATGTCGTCCGAAAACATCAGGATCGAACCCGGTTGTTACGATGAAAACAACATAACCACACTGTAGCTCACTACTCAGCATTTGACAGAGTATCTAGGGAAAGATTCAAGTACCCATGCTGCCACCGCTATATCTAAGAGAATTAGCGCCGAATTCAAACGACTACATGTCTAGACACTTACAATCTTCCAGATGTACCTCTCGAATAATCCTCCACTTAGTATAAACCCGTATGAGAATAGCCAAAGTAGCTAAAACAGTAGTCACTATCTTGACCGCATCGGCTGCTGGTCGAAGGGAATAGGGATTATCAAAATTCGAGGCAACACCTGGTGGAGGAGTCAAAGCCGGTCCTTGCATTAAGTCAATATCGGATTGCGACATTCCTATCATAATATAATAAACTTGGCACGCTTAAAAGAAAGAAAAAGTCAATTCGAGGATCGAAAATGAACAATTGACTGAAGAATGGCACATAATAAGCTCCTGATAATATGTTGAGCACTCGTTCGTCTGACATCAGCCCGGTCATGACCGGACTTGAAGAGAAAGGCTGTGCACCTTTCGGAAGCATTGTGTAAGGGGAAGGAAAAGATCTCCTACCCCAACAAACTTGATTGGTAGCTATTCCACCACACTGTTTTCTGGCTCTTGGCTTGCATGCACTTGCATTTCAGCCCTACCTCGATTCCAGCTCGAGTACAGTTCAGCTGGCTGAAAGAGTTCACATTGTAACGTTTCAGGAGCATGTTTGTTGAGAGAAGACTGATGTAACTTTTCCATACTGTTCAAATCGCAAATTTTGGATATATGGTCATGTATTTCGCGATGCTGAAAATATCATATTGATCTATTTGTATTGAAGATGAAAAAGGTGGAACAATTATATGTATCATGTGCCAGTCCCGTGACACCAAGTACTTCATTCTGCTAATGACCTTCCAAAATTTCTACTACTGCTTGCTAAAAATATGCAGTCTCCCCTAAGTGATCATGTTGAAAAATTTTTTAATCGAGATTGAAATTGCTCAAACCTCAATGAGAATCAGATAGCATTGCTATTGTCAAAGTAAGACTCACAGCCGTTGCATGCCAACTCTTTTCTCTTTCCACTATTCACAGAACATCAGTATCAAATTCGACAAATGAAGCAAAACCTCAAGAAACTTACATCAAAAGCAACTTGTACATCTCTGAACAGCGGTTCTCCGAAAATCCACATATCTTCCATTCCATTCCCATCCACACCTCCATTTTCAACTACTCCATTCGGGCCACCTATATTACCAAATCTGCCCTCCACTACAATTCCCACACAGTATCCACTACCTCTCTCTATCCTCCCCAAACTGAAACTTCCTCCTGGTGAAAAACTTCCTTCGTCCCTTTTGCCTTCCAATGCCTTGACTCTCAGATTGCCAAACTCGAGTAGTAAGTGAGGAGGGTTGAAACACGGGTAGGCATGGAACTGATCATGCGGTGGTGGAAGCTGTCGAGAGCCGGATATGGAAGAGTATAAACTGCGGACTAGATGTGGTGGACCAACTATATAGGGAGTGTTGACCTTGGGGAATTAGCGGGGTGAGAATAATGCGGAAAGGGGAGGGAAATGGTGAGTAAAGTATTCGACTTACATCCAGAACTATTGGCTGATTCTGTATAACTTTATTACCGTCAACCCAAATTCCTTTCATGAAGATTTCCCACCATCCATCTGCACCCCGAACTTTACTCCACTCCCAAACACTTTCATCATTCGGCTTCCGACTTAAGTCACTGTTATCCAATGGATTTTCGTCTCTCTTCATCAATCCTAACTCTGAGTTTCTCTTGATTTCATCGTGTTCGGACTGCAGTCCCAATCCGCCCATTCTTTTGAATTCATCGTTTCCAGATTGTAAGTCATCTAAATCCCTCTTCAATTCATCATTTAGAGGTTGGAATTCACCTGCCCCACCTGCTTCAAGTCTCTTCAATTCCTTTTCAATCATTTTCTCCACCCCTCTAACTGCCTCAACCGAAGATCCTCCCACACTCAATACCCCTTCATATCCATTAATCAACATCAAACTCCAAACCTCAGTATCCACAACTCCACTCCTAACAATCTGCTCCAGCAATCCTCCCTTCCAACCCCCTACTTGTCCCAACCCCTCTCCCACAGCCAACCCCAAACTTGCACCACTCTTCCCCAAACTACCAACCCACTGTTTCTGCGGTCTACAATGCGCAAAACTCACCGGAATATACCTCTCCCCTCTCAACCCAGCAAACATATCAAACCCCAACGGTAACCCCACAACATCCTTCCCACATCTACAACCCGGGAAATTCATCCCCTTACCCTCTTCATTATCATTACTCACACTATACGTTCCACTCCTCTCTTCCAAATAAAAACTCCCCTTTCCACTCGGCGTACTAATCACTGCAAAATCCGCCGTCAACATATTAAGATCCAGATCCACATTCTGAGACGGCTCCCCAATTTTCAACGACGTAAACCAGGATCCAGAATTTCCGACTTCGCTGAGAAGAGTAGTTCCTGGTTGGAGATATGTTCCAGATCTGGGGTTTGAAGTCGTGGTATTGCTGATTTGACCATCGTGCCATCTTTTGGGTACTCGGACGACTTTATTCCCTTTTAAGATTCTTTCGGAACTCGTGAATCTGGCATGTATATCGGCGAGTGTGCATTGGAGAAAGGTGAGATTAGCAGTATCGGGAGCTGGGAATGAACCGCCGCGCCGAGTGATGGTGTAGTGTAATGGTGGAAGTGTGGCAATTGCGAAGTTGGTGAAGGTAATGAGGAGGAGGAGGATGGTTGAGAGACGGAAACTTGAGATATACATGTATTTGTTGGATGTGTGGTATCACCCTGAATTGTGAGAGATGGGATGAGTAAATTGAAATTGAGAAAGCCATGTTAGACATAGAATCGAGAAAGTGCAGCTCGCGACAAAACTTAGATGAGCATTACTTACATCGCCTCACAGGGAAAGAACTTTCTCTTGATTGTAGCTACCGATTTCATTGCCACAAATAATTCAATCGAGGAGGTTGCTAGATAATAAGTTGAATGAACCACGTAGTAAAGCCGCCGAGAACATTGGATGAAAGAGAATATATTAAGTTATGCCAAAGATATAAAACTACAGGGTGCCAAAGCCGCCAACGATCATAATTCATATACGCTCCCCGCTATCTTCATCAATCTCATATCATCTTGCAATCAATTGGTATCGAGCTTTGAGTCATACCTCTCCAACTTCAATGACGCCAAATCTAAATCCTCGACACCCCTTATCAAATCTGTTGCCTTCTCACCAATCGCATATGCAGGCATTTGAGTATGTCCTTGATTCAGAAGCGGCATGACACTTGTATCGGCAACCCTAAGATTCCTGACTCCTCTAACTCTTAATTCTTCATCGAGAACTGCCATTGGATCCGATGCCTTGCCCATTTTGACTGTTCCTCCAGGGTGATAACACGTTGTAGCGTTATCTTTGATATAGGGGACCCATTGCTCTCTTGATGTGTATGCATGATGTGTCAAGTCTTTAGGCCAACTTCCCTCGACTATGTCCTTGGTACCTTTCCCTTTCATTATGATCTCATTCGCGTATCTGCATGCCTCACTAAGAACCACGATATCCAGCTCTTCACTTAAGTAACGGTGATCGACAACCGGATTATCTTTTGGATCTTTGGACTTTAAAGTGACAGTACCTCTGCTCTTAGGTGCGAATAATTCAGCAATCATGGAAAATGCATGGGATTTTTCTCCGTCTGGAAATTGATTGTATTGTTTTGGGCCACCGTAGCATTCTGTAGTAAAAAATTCGACATTGGGTTGTGATTCTGTTAATCCCATTGGATCTCGGCCTGGGCGTCGGGGTGCTGAAGTCCAAGCTGGTTCCGAAGCAAGACGCTCATCAAGGCGAGCATATGCAAATACGCCAAAAGGAAAGGTAGAGAGAGGTCCACGCTTTTCTTCTTTCCATTGTCTATAAGCTTCACCCAAGGCATTTGGACGGTACAAGAGGTAATCATTGGTAACATTCGGCTTGGTTGTTTCATAAAATATGAACACAATCTAGAATTTTGTTAGCGGTGTAACAGTAAGAGATAGTGAGTCATTACCATATGATCCATGAGATTTTTTCCAACTCCAGGGAGGTTAACTTGACAATCAATACCATGAGATTCAAGCTCAGACTTTGCTCCAATCCCTGATCGCATAAGAATGGTTGGAGAGCAATAGGCTCCTGCACTGATAATGACCTCTTTCTTGGCTCTGATCTCTTTCTCTGTTCCATCTTTCTCGATTACTTTTACAGCCGCAGCTTTCAGCTCATGAGGAAACGCATGGCTTTCGAGAATCACCTTATCGACAATTGTGCTAGTTTTTATCGCAAGGTTTGAGCCTTTGTTGATGAAGTAGTTAGCAGAGGTGGTTCTATCTCCTTTATACACAGTCCTTGGTGCATGACCACACCCATTCGGAGTCTCGCCAGTTGAGAACATATCTGGATGAAGTGGAAGGCCTCGATCAGCCATTGAATCCAAAATCATGTTGGATATAGGGGCCTGAAAATATCAGTCCATTGCATTAGCGATCGCCTTCAATGCCACTCACCAGATCATGAGGCTCAACATCTAGTAAACCATCGTGACCATGTACCGAGTCATTCGCTTCAAACCAGTCTTTGTTATGAAAATTCTCCGCCTATATGACTGTCAATATGAGGCACAATTAAGTAAATCATGCTCCTACCTTCTTCATATATCCAAAAACCTCCTCTCCACTCCATCCTGGCATTTCCCAGTCATCATAGTCTTGTGGTGTGCCTCTGATACACAGTGTGCCGTTTACTCCGCTTGATCCACCAAGGAACTTGCCACGACTGGCTTTGATTTGACGATTGTTAATCCCCGTATTTGGTTCTGTGGAAATATTCCAGTCTGCTTCCGTGTCGAAATTCTGTGACCTATTTATGATGCGTTTGAGCTCAACTTCATGAGAAGGAAAAAAGAGGCTCTTACCACCCACCAACCATAATAGTGTTCTCGAGGAGAGAATTATGCTCTCCTGCCTCGATGACTAGAACAGAATTGTTGGGATCTTCTGCCAATCTTGCTGCAACAACGGCGCCTGACGTGCCACCTCTATAGAATGCTCATCAGAGATGTCCATTGAATCGAGTATTGAGAGATGGAGCATACCCGCATACAATATAGTCATATTCGGCACCTTCTGACTTTACTGTGACAACCATGATGAGGTTCAACGTTAAAACGTGTTATAAAAAAGATGCAAAATGAAATGGTGTTACCAAAGACCGAGGTTTGAACAAAACTTGGAACAGAGGTACCATCTTCAATAGGTATTATATGCACAGTTTTGAGTCTAGAACAGTACTTAGCTTGCCTAGATAGATAGTACTTGGCTCAAAAGATGTAATGAGGCGAGTGGGGGTACCCGGTAGTTCCAAGTTAAGTACGCTAAACCTCATCATCACTCTGCATGTAATGTCACCCTTTCAGCCCTTTCGGCCAATGAGAAGTCATGGGGAGTAATCACCGTACTGTGCTTGTTGATTCCCGACTGTGTACTGGCTTGGGTATCTCTAGATCTTATGCCAAAACAGATCGTTAGAGTGCTGCTACATGAGGATCATCAAAAGTCATCAACATCCCATAAGCAGACCCAAGGCAGGTGAGCATGTATCTGCGCAATCATTCCATTCTCGTACCCGGATCAATTGCTAATCATTTATACTGATTCCTCCAAGTAAAGAAGGAGTCGATTGTACGAGATGGTGTTTGAAGAAGAGTACCACCAGTGGGTGCATGGATTGATGGGACACTTCCGAACTTTCAAAAGTTTTAACAAATCCATGCTTCAATTGTTTGATATCAGAATTGACATTCTAATTGTTTCATTCCTGATGAACAATTGTACCAACTCTTAAGACATAGGATTTGATATATTGAGAGATATTCACAAGTTAACTTTAGCAATGTTCTGTCAGTCCGTACACCCACCGGTGTACGAATTAAACTATGAACTATTTTCGCGGGGGAAATGCGGGGTTGGGGTTTGTTTCCGAGATCCGTGCAGCGGAAATATCCCGGCACGTGCTTTCACGGAATTATGACCGCGTCTGAATTACTATCATCAATTGCAAAACAGGCGAGCAAGCAAACAGCTTCGACGTCGAGGATCCCTCATATCAAGTGCTGCCCTTGCACTCATTATGGCTCCGTTCTCGACGAGAGATCAAGAGTTTGATACATAGATGCTGTCGAAATGACAATAACACAACAGCTTTTTTGGCTTTGAGGTTGTTCGATCTCATCACCTTATGGTTGTCCTTACGGCGACGATGTCAAGTAAGAATGGACACTTGGTACAAAGGCATTGTTGACAAACAACGCAAAATGGGTTTTCTTTGTTGTAATCTATCTACATCGTGCATTTGATTGGTCCTTGAAGATTGTTTCGCGTCTTCTCTCAAATTTTGACGAATGAAGAGTTGAACATACATTGTAGAGAGCCTGTTCAAGGAAAGAACAGACCTTCTATCCACAGATAAACTCTCTCAAGTCACCGCAATCATTTTAGTAGGTAGGCAATTTAGAAAAGTTCATATTCACTGACACGGTTTCACTCGTACTGCATTCCATCAATTACCAGTATATCACAACCACGCGGACTGCAGTAGTGAGCCCTACCACTCAACAGTGTCATACCGTATAAAAAGGTTTGTCGAGAATAGTGTCATGTCAAAAATTTAGTCAAGATGTCTACACCATCCCTCTCTACTGATTTCACGTTTGGAGTAGAATTTGAGTTTGCCATTCGCTTCAAAAGAGGATTGTTTCCTGACTACACAAGGCTTGGCCCGGGTAAGATTCACAGCTTTATCAAAGAGACTTTGATTCTTGAAACTGGGCTTGATATTTTGACAGAAGCAGAGATTGACCAGGATTGCCCCCGTTTTTCCAAGCCGAATCAAGACCCCAATAGAATATCTCAGCAAGACTTATTCAATACATGGGCCATTGGCACCGATGCCACTCTATCATTCGATGAAGAGGAACACGCAGACAGATCCTCGATGTTCTTCGAGCTTGAAATGATAACACCAGTTTTGAAATTTGGTCCAAAAGCCTTCAAGGAAATTGACAAAATGCTAACGGCTTTCAAGAAACATTTCGATGTTGTTGTCAACCAGTCATGTGGTCTTCACGTTCATGTTGGCAATGGAACTAAAGGGTTGTCTTTTCAACCGTTACAACACCTCATGGCAACTATCTGGACTTTCGAACCTCAGATCTTCTCCCTTCTTCGAAAGTCAAGGAACAATGGTAAGTATTGTGGATCCCTTCATAAACGCTCCAATCTTGGTGTTTACGAATACGAGGGGAACTTACTCAATGTTATACTCGGTACATCTGACATCAACGAAGTCGTGGCCATGTTCAATGGATATGACTCTTTTTGCTACATGGCTTTCAAACTCGAATATCTTATTCAACCTTTTCGGTATCCTGTTAAGAGAACTATAGAGTTTCGAGCACATGAAGGAAGTATGGATTCAGAGACCGTTTTAAACTGGGCAAGTTTTGTTGTTGAATTAGTGAGCTGGGCTCACAAGATCAACCGTCAAGATTTGAAATTCTTTCTTTCAAAACACGTCGCTTCCAAAGATTCGTCGATAGAAGACCTCTTCAAGGAGATCAGTTTCCCACAATCAACTGTTGAATTCTACCGAGAAAAGGTCGCAAGATTACGACCAGTTGAGGAGAAGGAAGCTGAGGAAAAGAAAGCGACCAAAAAGAGGAAGGCCGAGGAGAAGAAGGCTAGAGATGCAGCGAGGGCTGCAGGGGAAATAGTTGAGAGCAGCGACGACAACCACAGCAGCAGCGACAACGACAGTAGCATGGATACGTTAGAATCGGGATCATTTGTCTTTTGAGGCGGAAGTGCATCGAGATCGCTTCCTCCCTATCATTCTATGGTTTTGCCAGTCTTGATAATCTCACCTTAATCAGCAAGCAGCTCCTCGCTTTTTCCCTACAAATTTAAATCATCAATCCTAATTCAATCAATCATTATAACCAATCAACTTTCGTTTCCTTTCGCATTTAAATGAAACCTTTCTTTTTCGTAACGCCAAACATTTGCACTGATAGCAAGATTTATTATTCTTCATAAATTACATCCAAGTGGCAACGCTGTCGTATATATCAAATTACTGTTCAACTCAAGATCAAGCTTTGCTTCCATTTCCATATTGTGATATTTCATGTTCTTACCTGCTGTTTTCAGTCATGAGTTTTTAGATGATCCCCAATCCTCGCACTTTCCTTCGCTTAATCACATGTCCATTCCTGTTGACTCTCTCATCTCCTCTCGAATCTGACTTATGACCACCAATTTCTTTACAATCGTTATATCAATTGCCCAGCTTCATGTATAAATAGTTTATTTTTATATATTTGGATACATATAGGTAGGAATATCCTTACATTTATCAATTCGACGTGGCAAATCGGAGTATCTAAAGATGTCAAGACTTCCAAAACATGACAAATTCCTTTCGAAACACACTACAAGTTCCACAATCACCAAGACAATCAATAGAGCTTGACGTATTAGATGCCAATGGAAGATCCTTGACTCCTCCAAGGTCTAATCAAATGTTACATGAGATTGAGACTGGAGTGTATGTACCTCTTCGTATGACGTCATTATGGACTCCAAAGTCGTCTCCCTTCTGCAACCATTCATTGGCTAAACTGAATTGTTAGATATATCTGTCTCATCTGTTACGATAATATTACAGCTTATATAGCGGAGTTCTGGCACTGTCATGAATGCTATAATATCTATCATTCTACTTGTATTATGGCCTGGGCCATCAAGTCGGCCATCAAGTCGACCCGATCACCATATTTTAGTACTTGGAGATGCCCTGCATGTACTTGCAAATGGAGCGACCGCCCGCTACCGTCTTCTTGGTGCGGAAAACACAATTACAAAAGCACGACGCTTAACACAGGCAGCTGTGGTCAGTCTTATTCAAGAGAAAAGCATTGTGGTAATCGGCGCAATTGCCCCACGTATACATGCTCAGCAATATGTCATCCTGGACCATGTATCAAAAACGAATGCACAGATAGCTGCGGAGAGGAGATGCCTCAAGAACCACCCATCCCACATCGAGCAGCTCTAGACGACAGATCAAATGACATTCGGCAACAACTTGTTGACGAAATTCCCGATCTTCAAAAAAAACTCTGGTTTCTCATTCCTATCTTTACAATCAATTTCCTTGCAATTTTCTGGGCTGTAAATCGTATTCAGCGATTTAAAAAACCACTTGAAAACCAAGAATTCACAGAAAGCGACAATCGTAAGCAAGAGCAAAGTTTCTATTTCGTAACTGCTCCTATTCTCTTTCTGCTGAATTCGATTCTTTGCGGCTCTGTTATACATAGCATAAATGGGCGTTTGAGGATCTGTCTAAGTTTAAGTACAACGAGACGGGAGCCCACACCATATTCAATCTCATGGAGAAGGGCAAGAATCGTCACTGCCAAGGTGGTTTCTTACTATCTTGTGGACTGTATTCATCATTCTTGTCTTTTGTATTCTAGCCGCGTAAGTATCATCTTTTTTTCTTCTCTGTTATTTGTACATCTGAAGCACTTGCAGACTACTCGTCGGACCAGGCCTTCACTGGATGCGTCAAATGGGGGGCACATGCGATAGCTTTGACACACGTATCAAGTTCTCTGACCCATCTGTCGATTACTTTGGTCTTCACGATAGCACAACAAAAGATCCAAGAATCCACCTCTGCATTCATACACTCAAACCCCTAGTCTATACCCATATCCCTCCTGGAAAGATTATGAGTCCTACAAGTCTGGCGTTGATCTCTTTAACATCACCAGAATAAACAATACAACTCCAAGCAGCCACACATTATCGATCAGTAAACCATTCGACCAATTCTGACGCATCATGGGGATTTACGGCGACAAACCCCTACATATGGATTTCGATCTCTTGCATCGCTCTTGGCGTTTGAAAGAGGGAGTTATAGTCATTGACTCTGAAGATCCCAGTTCCTCCTTCTACAAAGGAGGAGTCTTATTCGACAGCCTTAAGCCGGGAGAAATCTACGACTCAAACAAGACGGCTCATCTAGTCTCCAACTTCGGGATCGCAATTCAAAATCTTCATGAAGTACGAAATGGAACATAGACAACTACCGATCCCAAGAATCTGGAGCTTACATTCCCCGAAAGAGATCTACATATTCCGTTGTGGGGACTCTTTGAAAAACATTGTGTGTATCAAAGTTACATGAGAGTTTTCCGCAGGCCAACTGAGGAGAATCGGAAAACGTGCAATACTCGGAGTAGAAAAAGTAGTAGGGAGGAAGTTATGAGAACTGCGAGTTCTGGGTGTGGGGGAAGTAATGGATTGGAAGTTTGTTTGAGGAGGAGGAATTATACATGGACTAGTCATGGGATTAAATTGACGGAGCCGGGGTTGGGAGAGGATCTTTTGGTGCCGTTGGGGTTGATGGCGGTAGTGAGGAGGAGTATGAGGATGGAGCAGTGGAAGATAAGGCATGGGTGTCGTTGGCCTGAACTCGGAGGAATCTAGGTGGTTTTGGTGATCATTCTTGATGAGCATTTGGGTGGGTGAAGACTTCATAGAGATAGCTCGGTCGAAAGGCTACAGCGTTTTGATTTTCATGGTCACTGGTGTGACAAAGCGAAGACATCTCATGATGAGACAGCTGTAGATTCCAGTTTACAATGTATTATTCAGCAAAAGAATGCCCTTTCCAATATTTTCTTCGTTGAACCGCTTATTCTACATTTGACTCTATATTCCACTTGGATGGTATTGGAGGTATTGAAGGTATTGCTGGCATATGAAACTTGTATCATCGATATTCGTTAGAAAACCCCCTTAATTCCAAGGTATGATCTTGCCTATCTCGCTAATTATAGAAGATGATGTATTGTTTACTTGAGTCTGAGATGATTGGTTGTAAGGATTTCACAGATGAAGTTGTGGTTGTCTATGTTCTCATGTGAGTATCTGAACGTGACTTCAGTTTGAAGCTTCGCAGGTTATGACACTACCATGATAAATTTGATGATCACGTTCACATAGAAGTTTATCGAATTCCCGCGACCAAAAGAGCGGAATTGGTTTAAAGTGACGTCTATTGTGCCATTATGTTTCAAGTATGAATTTCTTCAGGATAAGGCGGGAAACGTAGGCTAGAATATAAGGCATTCGGAGATTGATTGATTGAATTAGGTTTACTAGTTAGCTACGAGGAAGATAGCTCTTGATAATACTGATTGGGGCTAGCTCCCCCTGCTCTAGCACTATAAGAACCATATCTCTTATCACAGTATTCCATTATTGATGTTGTGAATATTGCTGATTGAGTGAATTTTCACACCCAACGAGACACTTCAGTTTTGCACTAGCACTGGATTGCTTTCGTGAAGGCCTACTTCGTTGATTAAATTCATTGCTGCGTATCAATCGAGTGCCATACTTAAGTTATTCCCCACGACAAATCCTCCATCTTTCCTCTCATCCTCTACAACCAATTAACGCCTCTCCAACACCCGCCTTGAGTCTCAGCAACAATGACAAACTTAAGTAAAGCCAACGGGTTTCCAGCTCCTGAAGGGCTCTATCGACCTTCTGTTGCTTCTTCCACGCTATCTCGACAATATTGAAGATTTGATTCATCTTTAGTCCAGTTGTAAAACTTTGTAAGTTTCAAGTAGAATATATTTATGCACATGGACGATCATGAAGACTGATTGTTGGTACTTTTAGGCACAATATCTACACTGAACATACTCCATTACCTGGATTACTATTTGAGCTCTGCAAGAAAAGAGGAAAGCTGACGCTCGACGAAATCCGCGACCTGGTCGATCGGAAGTCCACTCTCAGGTCACTTGTTTCAATTCATTGGCGACGAATGAATCGCATAGTGAAGTCCGAACACATAGCCATGTTGCCCTATCTACAAATCGCAATGTTTGGAGGTCTATTTGCTGCTAGCGTACGCAATTTTTGTGAGCCAGGAGTTATCAATCCATTGCACACGAGCATTAGATTAGATTGGTGGGTGAAGTGTTGCCCGGATCTGTCGTGCAATGATAGCTGGGATATAATCGATGCACAGCCCTCTTGGATGGGAGGCCGTCAGATGTACAACATCATGAAAGGTAAGAGCCACAGCGAGATGACAAATGCTGGTACAATGACTAATAATCGAATAGTGCTTCAAATCACCGCGACGCTACAAACCTCTGCTCTAATCTCATTAATGAAGCAAATTCCTGACTGCTTCGTCACTTCAGCACAGAAGTGCAAAGACATTTCCTATGATGACACTTATCACGATAGAAACTTCGCCTTCTCTGCTTTCATTTCTCTGCAAGGTTGGGACTCGCTGGACTTGATGTATTAAGTCGAGGTAGGAACAACTTCACTTCATGCGCAAGCGGCAGTTGAGGCTGCAATGATTGCCTGACGAATGGAAAACAGCCAAGTCGCCAGCTTCAAAATCATCCGTGAAAATATGATAGAAGGCACGTTTCAAGACTTGGGTACCGTAGTCAACATTGAGGTGGATACATATTTCGTTTGTAATCGCAGACTCTTGAGAGAAATGTTATACTCGTATGTCAGCCTGTAATGACCAAATATACTTTGGTGTTGTTGCTCATCGTCTAAAACTTCAAACCTCAAAGCCCAAGCAATCCTTGCCCTTACCACAACTTGATCTGGCTACGCGTACACAGGACTTCAGTTAGTTCTTCAGATAAGTTACTTGCAATATATATAAAAGTCTTCTATTCATATTTTACTGATGGCCTCTGGACAAATCCGAGTAGAGGCTGAATCTTCCTACTGTGCTTTTATCCTGACCATATTTTCAAATAGCATTTAATTATGTTTTTCAGGTGGACAATAAAAATGTGATCTATCGGTTGTTAGCCTCATATAATATCACACTTATTTCAACAATACATTCTCTCTTCTAGTATTCAAGTCCTTTGTTCCACAGATCAACATCCACTACAATCTATATGACTACAATATTCTGAGTCGACCCATCTTCTTGTTCAGCCAGTATTCTCTACGCGAGCTCCTAGTGCATGATATCAAGGTTCGGCTCGCACCACATCATTCATAGATAGCATTGTTCACCAGGCATGATTTCAAGCATATTACCTCACCCAATATTGAAGTTTCATGTAAATTCCACCAACAAGACTTTCCAGCTTATCTGCGGTTTAGTGTTTTGATTTGATCTTTAACTTAGGTAATTATACCCATTCCCTCTTACTCCTCCTCAATTTTCACCCCAAGAATCCCTCCCAATCTGTCTTGAATGCTCTTAACCTGCTCCATAGTCATAACCTGACTTCCCATAAGATACACTACATTCCCTAGTATCCTCGCATGAATATTCCATTCCCCATCTATGCCTGCCACCTTACCATCCAACATACTTTCTCTCACCGTTTCTGTGACTCTCGACGTGTAGCCTCCTCCTTGCTCATCCTTGAAGGTGATGGCTAATACACTGCCAAGAGCAATCACTCCATCTACCGACTCCAAATGAGAAATTGAGGTGACGAAGGATTTACTCCATATACTCCAGACTCGATTATTCTCACTTGTATTCTCCACCTTTACACTAGATTTAGAAACTACTTTTCCAGCTTTGGAATTCCAGTCATTCCTAAACTTCTCCCACGTGCCATTTTTATCGCTGTCCAATTTTTCCATAGTCTCGAGACCTACACGTGCAACTTCGCAACCAACGGCATGACCAGTGTAACTATGTCCGTGTAGAAGAGCTTCGCTTTTTTCATCCCCGAGGAATGCTTCGTAGATGCTCTCACTAGCAACGGTTGTGCAAAGGGGCAGTAGACCACCGGTAAGTAGCTTGGCGTGAACTGAAATATCCGGGTGAGTGTGTAAAAGTGTAGACGGACTGAAGTGACCGAGACGGTAAAGACCTGTGAATACTTCGTCGTGGATGACAGGGAGTCCAGTCCATTGGGTCGGGGAGAACTTAGAACCTTCGGGAAGAGGATTGGCTTCACCGAGTAGTTGTTCGGGAATGTTGCGGATGACGTTTGTTAGGGTGCGTTGGAAAAGAGGGTCGCTTTGATATTTGTCAGAACGAAGTTTGGGGGAGACCTAAATATGTATGGCTTACCAAAATAGCATACCACCTGCCCCAAGGATAATTGGCTCCAAAACCAAGGCACCGAATTTCATTCCCTGTTCATTGGCCCTTCGAAGTTTAGTCAAAATATGTTCCTCATACTTCTTCTGCAGCTTGCTACTATCTCTCTGTGAACTGAACACACCATCCAATTCATCAAATGTCTCCTCGATATCCTGGCCGGTTCCATCATAAACTACCCATTTTCCATCTTTCATCCAGACTTTTGGTACATCGAACCATAATCCTCTTCCTTTGTACCAGTGTACCTTTTCGTTATATACGCTTCCTTCACTTAAATCCATAGCTCCGATAGTATCTCCGTGGTAACTGCCTTTTAATCCGATAATTCCCACCTCTCTACTCTTTTCAGGATTGTTTCCCCAACTGTAATGCTTACTAGCAGCAGTCAAGGCCATTTTTACAGCAACTTCCATGCCAGTACTACCGTTATCAGAGTAGAAAACTCGAGAAAGACGTGGATTTTTGAGGTTGGTAAGGAGGTGCTCAGCGAGCTTGAGAGAGGGTGCATGAATGGTGGATGCGAAAATGCAGTGTCCATATCGACCTGACGCATAGGCTGCGGCTAGAGACAGAGCAGGATTTCCGTGGCCCAAACCTTGGGTCCACCAAGATCCCGAACCATCTAATGTGGGCGTAAGGAGATTTTCCTGGACTGGCTCTTGAGGTTTGGATGCGGTTTGCATTGACAGGGTTTGGAAATAATCTCCATATGCGGAATCTATAGGGAGTATTTTATCCGCTGAGAGATGCTTCATTTGAGTGAATGGATACCATATTTTCTCGTGAGCTTTTGTGGCCATCCGTTCCAGATCTTCAATTCGAGATATGTTTCGTTGATGGGAAGCTTCTAGTAGAGCTTCAATCTCGCCGGACCGAGCAACACTCGAGTAGTAAGAAGACATGGACTCTTCATCTTCCTGGAGATTCGGTATCTGGTTTGGTGGAGGCGGGATGACTGTTGTGTTTACACCTCTCTCTTGAAAGTATTTAGATAGATATGCATAATTTCCATACTTCTCTTCCTGGAATATCAAGACAGAGTCTATGTCATATCCTCGGAGATGTAAACCTATCTTATCATTAGTCCAGTACCGTCTTCGAGAATTCGTTCTTAAATCTCCACCAGATTTTACTGAATAGGAATGGTCACATACTCTCCCAAGCACTAATCGTTGCAGAAATTCCGCCTAATCTTGGATCACCAACGAGAAACACTGGCATTCTCAGAGGTCTTAATGCATCTACTTGACTTGTACCAGAAGGTGTTGGCGAATGTACGCCGCCAGCACCTTCCACTATGATCATTCCTTCTCCTCTCCTTTCATTAATTTTTGTCCAAATTTTAACCTGATCTGAGATTGCTGTAACAATCTCATGATCATTCGGCGGCTGCACGTGTTTTTGAGTCAGCGAAGGGAGGTTCCTCGATCATATATCCCTTCCGACCATCATAACCAAACAATACCATTTGGACATAGAAATCAAAATTTTGGGAAATGGAGCTAATATTTAGTCTCTCCTAGTTATAAATGAAAGTTGCCAAACACACCTTCACGCCCCTTGCCGCTATGTGTGGGCTGACAGCTTCACCATATCTAAACAAGCATGCTATTTTCGATCCTTTTGCAAATTTCTCAATATGTAAATCATCAGCTTCAATTAACGGTCCTGTCGAAACAGGCTTCAAATAATAAGGGATTTGTTTTTTGGCAAGAAGTTGTCGACAGAGAAGTGTTGAAAAGATAGTCTTCCCCAAAGACGTGTTGGATGCCGTTAGATGATAGACGGGAAGCGAGCGCGAAAGGAGAGAGGGTGGTGGTTTATACATTGTGACAAAAGGGGGGAAGGAAGGGAACAGTCAAACAAGTGAAAAGAAGCTCGGAGTTGAGTCAATCGCTGAGTGGAATTCGAGCAATGAGGGGTGAGTGAAGCATGGTGGGGTCGCTTGCATGAATGACTAACAGATGTTTATACGATTGGCCAATATTCCTATCTACCCCTGAGTTCTCTCCACAACAGCTTAAACCCATGCTAATGTGATCTGCGGGAAATATCCATGCTGGCACGTATTCATCGATTCTGCCAATGTATCGGTTCTGGATACAGCATGTCACCAGCTAATGCAAAACGAACTCTCGGCAAGACTTCAACAAATTCTGAACATCGGACCTGAGTCTATAAGTCATGACTTACGAATCAAATCATATTAACTCTTTACCTGTATCCATCTGTACAATGTTACCACAGTTCTGATCACACATCACACATTCATCTCACAGCAAACGAAAATGCCTACACTGGAAGAATCCATGACCTCGGCACTCAAACGCCGAGCTCTAAAATCCTCGCTCCGGAATCTATCGTTACCATCTACCATACAAACGACATCTGGTGTTACACCAATCGACTTCTCATCTAACGATTTTCTCTCACTCTCAACATCCACACTTCTCCATAATGAATATCTCTCCCTTCTCCGATCTCATTTAACACCTCCAAAACCCGAGAGTTCATCACCATCTTCAAAACCAACCCCGCCAACTTTAGGTAGCACAGGCTCCCGTCTTCTAACCGGCAATTCTTCCCTCGCACTTCATCTCGAATCTCAAATTTCTACATTTCATCGCTCTCCGCATCTTGGCTCTGGTGCTCTGCTCTTCAACTCAGGGTTTGATGCTAATTCTGCATTTTTCGCTTGTGTTCCTCAAAAAGAAGATGTCATCGTTTACGATGAACAAATCCACGCTAGTGTGCATGAAGGGATGAGAGGTTCACGTTCTGGGAGATTTATTGCCTTTGAACATAATAATGTGTGTGATTTGCGAAGGGTTTTGGATAGTGTAAAACGAGAAGGAGGGGAGAGGAATGTATTCGTGGCGGTGGAAAGTTTGTATAGTATGGATGGGGATTTATGTCCGCTGCGCTCTGTGGTCCAAACTGTCGAGGATATTTTTGGTTTAGGAGGAATTACCGAAGAGGGAAGAGGATATATTGTGGTAGATGAAGCGCATTCGACGGGCGTTTATGGGCAAAATGGACGGGGATTGGTTTGTGAATTAGGGCTTGAGGAAAAGATATTTGCGAGGTTGCATACTTTTGGAAAGGCACTCGCGGGAAATGGTGGTATGTTCGTTCTCATTGCATGCACCGCTACACACTCAATTTTACCACCTGACGATGAATATACTAAAACCGAAATAGCTATCATTCTAACTACCCCATTAACACGTCACTACCTCCTCAACTACGCACGCCCCCTCATTTATAGCACCTCTCTCTCCACGCCCTCTCTCCTTCTGATTGCCGCCTCTTACTCTCTTCTTCTGTCCTCCTCCACAGCCCCACTTCAATCACATGTTCGTTCTCTCTCACATCATTTCACATCCTTACTCTCCCAACTTCCTCATTCTATATACCTCAGACCGCAGCACCAAAAGCCCAACCCATACGCCGAGGATCTAAACTGGGCACCCATATTCTCTCTTCAAACACCTGAGCCCAAGGATCTAGCAGCTTTTTGTCAAAGAGCGGGGTATAACGTCCGGGCAATCATGAGTCCAACGGTTAAGAAGGGAAGTGAAAGAGTCAGGGTTTGTTTGCATGCTGGGAATACTTTTGAGGAGGTTGAGGAATTGGTACGGTGTGTTAAAGTGTGGATTGAGGTAATGGAAAAGAGAGTGAAGGGCCACGTGGATGAGACTTTGGAGACTTTTTCTCCACCAACATCTAATGTGGCGGTGGATGATCAGGAGATCAATGGTGTCGATGTAGGTGCAATTTTTAAGGGGAAGACTCCAACAGAGAGGGCAAAGCTATAGATCTACCACAGAAGGAGCTACATCGTAAACTTAGATTAAGATCTTCCACAACAATATGAAATCACAATACAGCAAAGGAGACAAAGAACAGCAAGAAAGGCTAGAAATGTAGCCAAGTATCATCTAGCGCCAGCTATCATATCAGAGATTATTTTCCGAGAAAAAAAAAAGTAACGGATAGCACAAGTTGAAAGCAAAAATTTGCTTGTGGTCTAAAACGTCCCAAGGAATCAGTGAGCTTCTTCAACGGGGTAATTAATAAGATGGACTAACGGATAATTGAAAGACCAAGACTTGCTATCTACCAGTTGTCACTCGGGTCTCAACGCCAATGCTATGCTACATATCACTACGAACTTTAGCCTCGGGCTTCACATATGATTGTAACTACTGTACTCAATCCTCGCTTAGTATTTCCTCTCTGGAACTGTACTCTGTATTCTTCTTGCTAAGAATTTTTACTACATTGCACTATTCCGGCGTCCATTTAAACAGCCATCAATTGACCACAACAACCATGCCACAAAATTCCCAACAACAATATATCAAAGTTCACCAACCATCTCGGCGCTTCTCCAAACGCCCGCTGCGATATCCGGAAGATCATCACCAATTCTTACCTCGGCAAAGCCAAGGATCATTCATGCCCAAGCTTCTGCACGGGCCGATCCACCTTGCTGTCATTGACAGCGGGGAATCTCTCGCTTTTCCCCGCCAATCAGATGAGACGAGTGATAAGTGGGCAATTCCCGGAGATGTAATTTGTTGAGATGCCCCGCTGGATCTTCTGGGGTTACATGAATGAGTTGTGTACTTTGTAAAGAAACCCCTCACTTAGCTTGGTTTCGAGGTTGGACTTGTCTCCTTCCTTTTTGTCTCTTGTTGAGTCACGATTTGGTTTAGCTGATTGTTGGGTGGTAATGGCGATGAGTTTATTGGATAGCAGCTTGATTTGGATATTGTAGATATTTATCAGGGATTTTGATTTCTTTCCTCTAATCTGTGTTACTTTATCTGCTTCATAGAAAGAGGTGAAGAAGAGTTTGTGTGAATACCTACCTCAAATCTCTAATTCACACCAATATCATGGCAGCCCTCAGAACCACCCTCTTTCGTCCCCTCCACTCCAACACCCACAAACTCCCTTCTATTTCCCTTCCCCTCCGTCTTCAAACCCTGAACTCCAAAAACTATGGAACTGTATCATCTATTCCTCCTCAAGCTACAGAGAACACTGTTACATCTCAAAAAGATGTGTACCAAGAAGCTCTCAATGCAACTGAGCCTCGCACTAACTGGACGCGAGAAGAAATCAAGACGATTTATGATCAACCATTGATGGAGCTATGTTGGGGAGCAGGTAGTTTGCATAGGAAATTCCACATACCTGGAGCTATTCAGATGTGTACTTTGCTGAATATTAAAACGGGTGGTTGTTCGGAGGATTGTTCTTAGTGAGTTGGTTTTGTTCTCTGTGCTTTTTATCCTTTATCGGCGTCGTTTTGTTCTACACTGTCCATGTAGATGGATGGATTTTCTTTTATCCATCAGACAATAATGCTAACATCTCACACCCAGCTGCGCCCAATCATCACGCTATCAAACCGGTCTCAAAGCTTCCAAAATGGTATCCGTTGAATCCGTCCTCGCCGCTGCCCGCATCGCCAAGGACAATGGCAGCACGCGCTTCTGCATGGGAGCCGCCTGGCGCGATATGCGTGGTCGCAAAACCAATCTCAAAAATGTTAAGACAATGGTTAGCGAAATTCGTGGTATGGGCATGGAAGTATGCGTTACTCTCGGAATGATTGATGCAGAGCAAGCTCAGGAACTCAAGGAGGCAGGTTTGACTGCTTATAATCATAACGTGGATACCTCGAGAGACTTTTATCCAAAAGTAATTACAACGAGAAGTTATGATGAGAGATTGAACACGATCAAGAACGTAAGGGAGGCGGGTATTAATGTGTGTACCGGGGGTATTTTAGGGCTGGGTGAAAATAAGAGTGATCATATCGGACTCTTGGAGACGGTAGCTACATTGCCTTCGCATCCGGAATCGTTTCCTGTGAACATGTTGGTGGCCATTAAGGGAACTCCATTGGAAGGAAACAAGAAGGTGGAATTTGAAAACATGTTGAGAATGGTAGCAACAGCTCGAATCGTCATGCCAAAAACCATCGTACGATTGGCAGCCGGAAGAGGAGAGTTGAGCGAAGAACAACAAGTCCTATGTTTTATGGCCGGTGCCAACGCCGTATTCACCGGCGAGAAAATGTTAACAACACCTGCCGTTGGATGGGGAGTCGACTCTGTCGTTTTCAACAGATGGGGCTTGCGACCCATGGAAAGTTTCGAAGTCGACGCTTTGAAAAACGACAAGCCAGCTGCGGTGTCGACGACACAGATTCCGGTGGAGGAAAGTAAGGCAGAAATGCCCGGTACGGTTGCATGATCGATTGTTTGATTTGGATACCCCATGGCGTTTGGTGCGCTCATCATATCGAGTTTATCCAAGGAGATAGTATTCGAACAATGGAAGTGCTGTTACGCCACCATTGGGATCGGCGTATTGGACTGAGCGACTATACCGCGAAAATGTTTTGCGCTATCGTGTGTTGTCGTCTCGTGGGATTGAGCGTTGTTTTGTGTTTTCATTTTGGTTGTGTTTGAGGTGGACGGAGGGTTATATAGATACAGAGAATTTATATATATATACACATCTATGTGATTAGCAGAACGTTCATTCCTTTAAATCGTGAATATAATTACAATTACTATGTAATATTGGACGCCCCGGTACCTCAAGAACCTCACTACCTCCTCCCTACCTCGGAAGGAACTCACAAGTATATTGCGAACCAGATTAAAAAAGTATAGAAGGGAAAGTATAAGCTTCATCACAGCTGACTATAATGAATGGAATACACTACAGCCAAACTTCCAGCGAAGGGGTACAAACGTTCTCGGTGGTCCTTTCGTAATCGTATTCTTCAACATCACAAAGTAACATCACAGAATTGCATGCTAACCTTACACCTTCAAACCTCAAACCAGTCTTTTTGTAGAGATGATCCACCAGAATCATATAACATTAATCAAATCTCCTCATCAAATAAGAAAAAAGACAAACAAAATATCGCCCGAGCCGGTTTCAAAAATGTAACTTCATCCACTCAAAAACACTCCCGGTGATGGTACCGGTAACTATGTGAAATGAAATCTGAAGAAAGATAATGGAGGAGATGGTTTACATAGTACATACTCAAGTAAGACTTCTACCGAGTGCCTGACTGACAGTTGTGTTCTTATATATGGGCGAACAAATGGAATCCAACATTCTTTTCCTTTTTTGGAACTTGGTGATTTGTCTCCCAATAAGCCCTAAGGAGGTTTTGTCCAGTTATCTCGGGACAAGACCAGGCATCGAATATGTATGGTATGAAACAAACGTTCGTTTCCGTACAGAATAGATACTTAGTAACTACTTCCAATCATTCCACCTTGGCACTCATATTTTCACAAAGCGATGGAAATCCGAGTAATGAGTAGGCCGTTTCCAATCATCTGTCTGTGATTTCTATACAATATGTAAGTAATTTAGTAAGTGGTTTTATACTCAAAGTATACAAGTCGCACCCAACATTGTGCTCTAACGCCTGGCTCCCCCTCCCATTTTTTCAAAACCAATTCTTGTACAGCGGTCTATTTCAAAAAATTCTTCTTCAGACAGGTAATACTCGTTTTCCCTTCGCATCCTGCTGCTGTTTTCCTTCTAACCACGCCCCTAAAATACCGCCTGAGCACCCTATCACTACAGCGGATACACTACCCACGTTTATCGGATTCGAATACATGTACATTCCTAGCAGGGCTAAAACCATTTTACTCGAGGCTTCGACAATCGAATGGAAACTTGACGATGATTTCTGAACGATTGCTGTAGAATAGAATATTATAGGGAAGACTCCAAAGCAGGTATAAATTATGGCCCCGATAGTTGATGCTCGTATGGAAGATGGGAAACAATCGTTCATATTCTCGTCAGAGAAATCCTCGATGAGGAAGGAAAGCGCTGATGCGATGATAAATACAAGAACATGGTTATGTAGGAAAACTAAGAAATGTTAGCCAGCCGTCCCTAAGGTCTTACGAGTAGAGAAGACATACTATCCCATTGACCAAATTCGAGAGTCGGCACAATCTTTGCCTTCCATGCTTCATATGTGCTGTACAATAAAACATGTATGGCCATGAAAATGTATCCAAGAAATAATATCAACACGGGGTCTTGAGGTTCCAATGTTTGTTCGAGTCGGCGGTCCCCATAGCTTGCTTCTGCATGCGCATTTTCCACAATGACTGATATTATTATGCCGGAGAATATTAGGAGATAGGATTTAAATGCGAACGGGGGAATCGGTGTCCCAAACAGAATGCTGTCGACGTAGGGGACTATGAAAATAGTCGTAGTAGAAAGAAGTATGTACGTAGGTAACGAAAGACATTGAAGCGCTTTGTAAGATATGTAATTCGAGACGAGGAGTAATACAGCTAAAGGAAGCCCTGTATAGAATTTTAGTTAGCATCTGCAATCCTCAATTCGTTCAGGTCGCGCAACGCATACAAGTCTTCAATGTTTGGAACTCTAGCCCGGCTAATTCCTTGAGATATCCGCCCCTTCTTAATAACCATATCACTGCGATAGCTGTTCCTGACTGTTGAAAGCCCAATGTCAGTTTACGCATTTTCCCACGGCAAGAAGCTTTTGGTAAACCAACATACCTGAAGTGCCAGTAAGAAGAAGTTCAAATTCCAGTATTGACCTGAGACAGCATATTTCAGAATAAAAGCCAAAAGGGCACTAGAACTTCCGTATGCCACCACATCGAGCCATTTTCCCCATTCTCCTCCTCTTCTCCTCGCAGGTAAATATCGGTCATTCTCCTTTTCTTTGCCCTTCGAATAACCATTCATCGTCATCGGCTTTCCGCAGGGTATGTTCTTCTTCGATATATGATCGGCGTCGCACTCATAGTACAGGACTGCACCATTAATTCCTGCCCTCAATCTATCCTCCTGCAATTAAGATGGTTTGGTTGGTTGGGTTTGTTACGTTTGTAAGGAACGAGATCACAATTAAGGATCAAAGAAGAGACGGTGCCAAGAGGTAGGGAAGCTCAGACTGGTTGGCCAAAATTTCGCCTAAGTTAAGCTTATGGTGCGGTACAAGCGCTGTGTTGAGGACCCTGAATACCAGTAATTCGGCATGTGTTGAATTCAATTGCTAGCCTTTTGATCCTTACAGAATAATAATGGAGCACATGTAGGTTAAACTTGGAAGGCATATTGGAAGTCATGTATCAAGAGTTGCTGTTCGATGTCGATAGTTTGAAGAGACAGCAGCAGTCACATGTTTACTGATTAGGTAAGCCATAGGTACAATACAGATTGAATCACCAGTGAACCTACCCATTTGCGTTTATGGTCACTAGTATCACGATGCACTTTACGATTTGGTCAATGGATTTATTTTGAATGATTTTTCATTTCCTAGCTGTTATACAGCGAATTTGGCTAGCTATCCATCTGATTGGCGGCCTAGGCGGGGGGAAGCTCTTGGTATATTATATGCTTGATAAACCTCACAAGTCATCTTCCCCGTGGACACATTCTCTACGCTTCTTCGATTCCTTCAATGATGCTGACAATCGCAGAGATTCTTGACGCGTGGTCCATGGCCAACCACTCATATAACACCTCGCATTCGTAGCACAATTCTTCTCCTTGTTGAGGAACTCTGATTATGATCTCGGGAATCATAATTCTACCACGATATTTACGATTTTGTTTTACAAAGAATCTCCGCAGTCCTTCTTTACAGAGCACTCGCTCCGTGATATCTTGCAATCGATGCTTTCGCGAACATTGCAGGTCTTGGACTATGAAAGTCTGCAAATGACAGAATGGGAAAGCGGCTGAGTAACCGTGATCAAGTTCCAAGTATCTATCTATATCGATCAAGGGTGGTCTAACGTCGCAAATCCTGGCAGAGCATTGGACAGAATTGACAACTGTTTTGTCCGTGAACAATGATGCTGTAAATAAGTCGACAGAGTCTTTCAACAACACCGAGTCTTTTTGGGTGTTGAAGAAGATCGCTCGAACGTTAAAGCGCGTCAATCTCTTGTAGACTTTCTTGGCTTCGTTATGGCTCAGCCAATTAATAGCAAGAAGTACCTCGGGAGTCTCAATCTCGTTTTCGTGGGACAACAACCAAGTCACATCATGGACAACAGGCTTTGCGATGGCCTCTTTCCAGATCATAAGTTGAAGTTCATCTGCGAGCCTCGAGAAGGCGCTAAACGTGTCTCTTACTGTCAACTTTGCGAAAGCTTCGCAAAGTGAGTCCATATCTGATTCAAAGTTATATGACATGATTGATGGGTTAATCTTTTCTTCTCTGTATTATGTTCAAAGTGATGTTCTGGGAAAGAAAAAATGGGTTGCCTCGCGACGCATTGTATTTATACACGAGGGAAGTCGTTGTTCTTTACATGATCTGCTTGTAGAACACATAATCAAGATATCAAAACAGGCTTCATAGTATTGGCGGATATGGTCCCGCAGATATACATCATGAAAGTCCAACTAGTCGTCAAGCCTATCAAACCCAGCCAGGCATGAAAAAATACACATTCTTACCGTTCGATTTCTTTGATACATCGGGAGGTCTCTCCTCTTCCCTATGCAAGATTTGCGGATTTCCGGGAGAACAGCGTGATTGCTGCATCTGATCACAGTAGTTGAGTCAGTAGTATCACAAAGAAGCTCTGTTCAGACAATGTTTGGTGAGAGTTGGAACACCTAGTTTCGGTTGGACTAACTGCCATTCGATAGTCGAGGAAACGACACAGGGACTATCAGCATTCTACAATAGGCCAAGGAAATACAGAATACTTGGGAGTGACCGGCTTCGAGTGTGTGTGTAATGGTTAAATGTGTTCGCAGAAGAGATTCTTTGTCCGACTCGAGGTCAAGCACGATATTGTTCTCTGAACAAGTAAGAAACAAAACTCGCTGTAGAAATATAGATCTCGCATCTTCAGCTTCATATTTGCTTTTGACATATCAAAAAGACTTTTGAGAATACAATCCAGGAGCAAATCAAGTCGATATTTCTGTATTCAGCTGGCAATCTACTAGAAGTAGGACCAACCTACGTTTATTACAAGATGTCTTCCAGAATATTAAAAGAACACGAAGAGGAGCGAATTACTACTGATATGTTCCAAGACCTGTTTAGAATGACATTACAACGCGAAGATGAAAACCAAGTCGACGAGGTCGGCGATCGAGAGCTGAGTCTTTTCGTCACCCAAAACGATGAAATTCAACAGTCGATCTGGAGTGAGATTCTGGCACCAGAAAATAGAGGATTGACAGATGAATTCGATTTCAGATTCTACGCAAGATATCCGACCGATACAATCGAAGCCCTTGGTGAAAGCGTACATGAAATTGAATCCATTACAATGCCATCCAGAATCATTCCTGGTTTCGGCCAGGGTGCACGACCCAACATACCTATCCTGGAATATCTCAGACAATGGCATCAAGAGCACGAGGAACCTTTTCCCTTTCATCGTCTGACTCATTGTATTATCGAAGATCCTACTTGTCACCCCATGGCCACAGACCACAGACTGTTCTCACCTGAATATTGTACATACGTACGCCAACAAGTCGTAGAATTTTCCGAGAGGAAAATCGACGACATCCTGAAGTCAGGATTCCCAGAGTTATTGCTTACTCTCAACGCACGGGACCTGACAGCTGCAGCGATTGCGATGCAGATATTAGAAGAAGACGGCTAGGAAGACTGTTGGGACCTTAGTCAGAAGAAGGTAGTACTATCTTTTAATCGTGTCTCACATATCAAATTCCCGATCTATCAACCTTTGTTTCGACCTTGAGCATCTTTCCTTACTATCTCTTTGGCTTTTTTAAATCATACTCTCTTTTCTTCTCCACTATTATAACCTTTTCCTTTCCTTTGATTCTTCCCTCCTGTGTATTAAAACTTAGTAGCCCTGATATCGATGCTGATACTATACCTAAGTAAAATCCGCGTGAACAACATGCAGAAAATTCTAACTCGAGAAGTATACAGAGCGCAAAGTCTTTGCCATCCATAATATGCGTCGACTCACAAATACTGTCAGATCGTCAATCGAAAAGGAACTTTACTCCAAATCGGCTACTTTGTAAGGCCGTGTCTGTGAATATTATTCGAGTGCATCATTATTCCCTCGAAGATCATTCCTGGTTCAGAACATATGATAGAGTCTTTGCATTCCAGTAAATCTGAGAGCCGATTTGAACACTATGAAAACATATGTCTCAAATCCGCGCAGAATCCAATACATCACAATTCAATCTCTCAATTCAATCAGCGCACTCGGCTCAATACCGGCGTTTCGAGACTCTCGTCCTCCCTCCTTCCAAAAGGGTCCTACCTATTCTTCCTCTTCCCGATGGAAATAGAAGACAATCAATCGCAAATTCATTTTCGAAGAAAAGTAATATCATCCGAAGTCAATATGATATCACCACATGAAGGTCCAACTATCGTTTTCTCTTTTTTACTGTTTCGATCAGCTTCGAGTTTCTCATTTTCCAGCTGTTTTCATTCATTGTTCTCTCTTCTCTTCCATAAGTTGGAAGACTTCATTCTCTCTTCAATCTGAGGAGATGAAAAGGATCTCTACACTTCAACCATTACATGTCTCTTTCGTTATCATCTACCAAATCAATTCTGTTTTTACAGAATGGTACATATCTTTTCCCATACAGTCTGAATGATGCTCAGCATTGTTGATTTCATAAGAACGCCTCGACACCCGACTGAGATTGGACTAAAGTTTGAACCACGACCTTATCCGTAATCTAACCAATACAAAATTCTATTCTAACCTCTTCCCTCTGGAGGGACCTTAACGCCTTCATGTCTTTGTAAACCTCCGCTGATGCGACAAGTTGGTGTTTGCAAGCGTCTTTCGTGATCTCCGAGCTTCTAATCATCTATCAAGCTACTATCTGCTTCAATCAGGACATTCAAAGTTTCCATCTTTTCAAGACCCTTTCGATTGGGCATATTTTTATTGATTGTTCGTTGATTCTTTGTTGAACCTTTGCTATCATATGTCCCCTAGCACTATTATTCCTTTGCTTATCGCGAAAACAATTTACCCGTGAGTTGATTGACAGCGCTGGCGGGCATCTTCTCATCTGAGCCAGCAGCGGAAGTTTTATCTAACGTCATCGGTAGGTCGTATCTCTCTGCATCAATTAGTAGGTAATCAAGTGATCCAGAAATTTCAAGAATCGGGTGCGTACGAGGGGCACGGAAGTGGGCAATTCATGTTTCAAAAGCCATTTCGCAGAAGAAGTCATGAAAGAAATCCTTGAAAGAGCGGAGATAGAAAAATTTATTTTAATTTCTGGCAACTACCACCAGATAAGATTCGGATTTTCCGCTAGTTAGCAGCTCATCAGTGAGTGCGCCAAGGTGATAGTGTTTTTCCAATAAGTTTGCCGGAATTTGAAGCTAGCAGATAGCTGACAGACTGACATATCAGTCACTGTGTGTCTGGCATAGTTTGATATCTTGGTGGCATCTCTTGGCGGATATTGCAATGGACAATGAAAGGAATGAACCGAAGAAACAGAACAATAGCTGGAGCGTTATTTTTGTACAAGATTATTGTACGATTATTGTGAGCATTTCTTCATCTTTTGTTCACAATCACAAGTGTACGTTTCCAACTGCCTTGTCCTCAAGACTGGTTCATCCTTCGAGCTCTTCTTTTATCTACTATAACAAAGGTTACATGTCCTGTTTATTGGCCTTTACTCTATCCTCAAAGAATGGAGTATTGTTAACAACAAAAAAACTAGTATAGAAATCGCTCACCTCGAGAACAACAACGCTACAAAATCCTCTGACGAACTATAAAAGCAATGGGTTTCCGTCTAAATAAATTTAATACAGAATCATCAGCTACACATTTACTACATCAATACTCAACAATAAGTATCATCATTAGTAAACACAGCATCACAACCCACTCTACCCAACAAAACCGAAATTTACCACACACGATGGATACTTTCCAAGACTTGTCAAGCCTGGCACTTGAGTTCCAAGTTGAACCAACAGTCAAATCTACTAGCGAACCTGAGGTGATCAAAAAGCGAGATCAGTTCAAGAATGCCTGGCAAGAGTTAGCAGATATGACACTAGATGTCGAAGATCAGACTGACAACAACAATCCTCAACAACCTCAAGATCCTACAGAACTCCACACAAAATTCCACTTCTTCCCTAAGCTCCCATAGGATATTAGACGAATGATCTGGGGATTGACTGTAACCCCGCGTTTGATTGAATGGAAGAATTGTGTATTGCCTGTTCAGAAGGCAGACCGGGAAACTGAACAGAGTGTAACGCCATCGATTCCAAGAGCTCTTTGCCCTCTCAATATTGTATCTTACAGTGGTATGCCCGCTGCATTTTGGACTTGCTTTGAAAGCAGAAACGCAGTCGCTGCATATTATCATAACATTGCTGTTGTGCCCAAGGACATTCGACTCAAACACGGAAATTTGCCAATAGGAACACTTGAAACCTATCGCCCTTCAAAATTCTCAGACTTTTATTCTATAGATAAACAGATTCTTCAATTCGAAAGCATTCGCGAAGAGATGTTTTCCTTTCCTTTGCAGCCATCGGTTCCTTTCAATCCAGATCTAGATATCTTCAATTTTAACCACCTCGACTTCGATCCATACGCGGATTGGGAACACCCAGCGGAAGCTCTTCTTCTTCGCTCAAACGTTCCTCTGGCTGCGGGATGGAGACCTTGGCGTTACGCGGATCAGGTAATGTTAAATTACGTGATTCATCCTTGGGCTGTCAAGAGAGCTCAAATCACACCAGATTCAAGATTTTGGTCGCATATGGAACACGATTTTTCTAAAGACCCAATCATGCAAATGGATTCTGTAATATTTGTAGACTTCCTCTTTCAGGATCTTGATGAATTCATTGTTCGAGATTTTGACTGTATGCTTTACCACAAGTTTGACTTACCCATAAATCGAGATAATTGGAGAAGTTATCTTCTAAGTATGTTCAGAGTTGACGCCTCCCATGATGAATTTGCAGCCGTGAGAGCAGGCTCCAAATTCAAGATACCAAAGGTCACGATTCTGCCTGGTGCCAAGATTTCAACAAGATGCAAGCGTTGTATTTGGGAACAGATGGAGGCCCGGGAAGATTTTGAAAACAGAAAACGTTTGAGGAACCGGAGGAAACGATTTACGCTCAAAATGCTTGAGCTATATGGCAAAGACCAGGATTTGTGGGTCTACCCTCGACGCAACCGCCGCCGCCACCGTTAAGTAAGTCGGATCTCCTTCATTTCTTTTCGTTCTATTCCAAGGTTTCATTAGTCTTTTCTATAAAAACAGTTAGTAAAACAGACCCCCAAAAATTTCATATAATTCCTAATAAACCCTTTCTTCCTGATTATACATACTCCAAGTGAAATCGAATCACCTTCTAATCTGCATTTTCCATTGATTTTCATTCATGAAACCACTACCGAGATATAAAATTCCCAATATTTGAGGCTCTGATCCAGCTGCTTGATATATATACTAACAGCGCAGAGCTTTTGCTTAAACACTACCTCAACTCGATCGCACCTACTCTCTCCCCTTGCATTTCGTCTCGATTTCCACATTTCCACCAACAATGACTCAAGCAAAACCCGAATTCCTTGGTAAGTATGACTGAGAATTCTATGATTTCGTTTTTGACTTCACAATACTTTGAGACGTTCTAGTAGAGGACTTACAGGCCCTCGTACGTTTGGGAGAGGTGTAAACACCGACACGAAACACAGACTGGCCACTACATATATTTCATTTTTCCAAGAGACCCTTGAGGTGCGTTTTACATGGGATCAGAATCCATAAGGTAATCTTTTCTTTTGCTGTGAAAATGGCCCCATCCTCGTGAATTCACTAATAGCAATTCTGAGCTCATGAGTGCCAGTTTGGTCTCTTTGCATCATTTTTCTGGAATACCAGAAGTTTCGTACTGAGCTTACAGCGCTCTATTTGGATTTTTCTGGTCATCAAACATTCAAGTAACATCGGTTTCTAAATTTATCACTTCAATATGTTACCCGTGCCAGTCATCCAACGGCACCGATGACTAGTTTGTTACAGCATATCCGTAATCACTTACCTCGATAAATCTGAACGTAGTCATGAATTTATTGATTTAACTGTCCTCAAAATGATTCGCGTATAGTGCCTCTCAATGTGTTAATAAAGTCTCGCTCAATTGCTAATCTCAATACATGAATCGCAAAGCTCTGATATCATATCCCTCATATCCCTCATATCTTCCTCCAAAAAGTGTAAACCTGAAAACATTGTCCAAGTGGATTAGAATAATGCGGTCACTGTGGGGAGTGAGCCTTATTGATTGGGGTCTAATACTCATAATGAGTACCCGGTCACTCGGAATTGAGTGTATATCAGGGTCCGGAGGTGTTATCCGTATAGCTGGTTGAATCAAATCTTGACGATGATGATGACTGGCAGAACTAGACCTCCTGGGACGATTTGGCGCATCATGCGGTGGCATTGGACGGTCACTGTGTGATGAACGACGACGATGTGGTCTCTCTCCCGAATCCAGCGCACGGGATGGTTGAAGTGAACCGTTACTGTCAGAATAATGCTTTCTTCCATACGAACCATACGATGAGCCGTCTTGAGCACACTTCGATGTATTTTCAGACCAAACTTGGATCTGTTCGGACCATTTTCTAGACGCAAGAAGCTCGTTTTTCTTCCTCTCGAATTCTTCTTCTGCTCTTTCAAGTAAACCCTCTCTTAATGATATCACACTGTTCCGACCTTCGAGATACTTGCTCATATTAGCAAGTCGATCTTCCTCTTCAATTACTTTCATTTCCCTCTCAGACACTCTCATTTCCCTTTCGGACACTTTCCTGTCGCGCCTTGCAAGCTGTTGGATTTTGCGACCTCTTTCGGTGGTATGCTCATAACAACTACAATAGTCAGGACAGCCACGAAAGCAGTAAGCACCGTAAGTCTCTGCTACCTGTTCAATAAATCTTAGCGATGGATGTACGGAAAACGCAATAGTTACTTACTTTGTGAATGTGTCTTCGAGAGCACTCGAATCTTACTTCCTCAAGGACTTGCATGGTTGACTTGTTGATTTTTATGTATCAAGTTATGGTCCTGTGTCTTATTTTAGATTAGTCCTGGAAAATTTGTTGGTTTGGGGTTTGATTTGGGTTTCAGACTGGGATGGGGAATGGAAAGAACATCAACAAGTTAGTCATGGCTCGCACACTATCAAATATGAATATTTGATCTGGCGGATTCATACGTGATTATGAAAAGAGGCAAATATTTTTGTTTTTCCGCTGAACCAATTCAAGTCTCTATCCCCACGCATAGTCATCTCACAAAAAAGCTGCATCCGAGTCAGAGAATAGTTTGCCTTGTTCAATTTACTTTAGTAGTAATAGAAAATGTCTTCACAGTACATCGATTTCGATTTTGCCATACCACGAATCACTGCTGCAATCTCACAGAGATATAGGACTAAGATTCTTCTATCCTATGATAGTGATCACTGATCGTCAATCAATTTCCTTTCCTCCCTCTGTCATCCCCTTCTCTACTCCAACCCCTATACAATCCCTAGCCATACATGCCACACTACCCACTCACAATTCGCCTACACGCACTCGGCAGCCTTCTCACAGTCTCTACAAACCAAGTGTCCGCACTCTCCACACTTGTTTTCCGCAGGTGAATTTTTTCTCTTACACTATCAATTTACAATCAGCAAGAACTCACCCCATCACTTCATTGCCACCAGCGAAAAAAGAAAATATAACCCACCAGTCCCTTGACAGCACTCTCCATCATACCTCTCATAGTGCCCAAAACCGTGGTCTTTTCAATAATCTTATTGCAACAAGTCCAATGAAATCCACGAAGATGATTCGTATTCAAACGCGCATTTGTTGGATCAGAGGTTGGACTCGTACTCGCACTCGGTTCAGAAGTCAAATTCCTATCTCCGTTTTCGATTTCGACTCCTGGGCGAAAATTGAGTCCAAGGACTCCCTTTGTGACTCTGTCGCTCTTTAGTTCCTTTCCGGGGGTCAGAGCATCGTGTCTGTGTAAGGGTAAGGGAAGTTGGAATTGTGGTTTAGAGATTGAGGTTGAAGATCTTGACATGAAGGAATCTGGAGGAGCTTGGTAGAAGGTATCTGGGCCTGGTACCATTGGTAGTGATGAGGCGGGCAACATGTTCATCTCTGAGTCCATTTTTTTTGTATGGGTGTAATTTAGGGCAGAGAGAAGTCGTCTGACTGATACCTTGATACTGGAGAGAAGATGGAAGATAATTTGAGTTATGACGGTTGATCGTTTATAATTCTGGAGATTTGATAAGTAAAGTTCTTGTGTGATGTTTTGAACAAGTAGGAGATCACAGACAGAGAGTGGTTTAAATAGAATAAGAAAAAGCTGTATAGAAAGGTGATGGTCTCACTACTCGTACCTAACTACCTTCGCAATGTCAACTCGACAGCAGCAAGGGACAGATGACCGTACGAACCCAGTACCGCACTGCAATACGGAAGTGTCACAGGAAGAATAACCAGCTAGCAAGTTAATCGAAGGTCAATGTTATACAATTGCTGCACCATCAATACACAATATCCACTATCCTTCCTATCCTACCTCCTATGTAGCTCCTCGCTTATCATTTTCGACTCTCCACTTATCCTTCAGATCTTCTAGGTTATCCAAGTGACTATGAATATTGACGGAAGTATTTTTGCCTATATGCTCCCGAACAACTTATCGTTTCGGTTGAAATGGATCTCATCAAATGACCTTAAAATTCTACGTGCGTAGGTTTGGTAGCAGGAAGCATTCTCGTTTCGTAAAGGATACTTTATCTGAAATCTTGGTACCAATGCAAGACGGTAATGGAAACTCTCATCTTATCTGTTCTACTCGTGCAATGTAACCTAAGCCTTTCAGCTGCACACAAGAGACAAATTTGATACGAAAGAATCGTTAGTGAATTCACATTATGGCTGGAATTCTTAGAAGAAAAAATAGACTAGTGAAAGATGAGTACCTGATGGTTTCACCACTAGGAATGATGGAGGAAGAATTTCATATTCAATCAGTTCAAAATTCCTATGCATTGAATCGGAAAGCTGTATAGAAACCTTTCGCAGATTTGCTTGAAATATTTACAAATTCGAAATATGTGACGCAGTAAATTATATGTAGTTGGCAGCAAGATTGCCAACATCGGCTAGCTGTAGATTGGGTGCTGGTGACTGCGCTGAGTCGATCCAGTTCTCCCAGAACTTCACCCCTTCTATACTTACTTCCCTACATAAAGCACCTCGTTCCTCAGCCATTTCAAGCTCTTCTTCAGCCACTCCTATGCTCCATCCAAAACGTTCTGCAGCGTCTTGTGATGTAACCCCCTGCCCGAATTCTTGCCAGTCCCATGGCACTGCCTTTTCCGGTGGAAATACGTGCAAATCTCTCATCCATGCCAGTAAAGTTTTGATGGTCTTTTCATCAGTCCTATCACTGCCTTGAACCACCAGTACTCCACTACGGAACTGTCTTAATCTTACAGGAAGCTTCAGCTTCTCCCACAATCTTGCAGCCTTTTCGAAGTCCAACGGACTAACGAGTTCAACACCACCCCGAGCACGGTTGAAAGTAGCCCACAGATCCACCAGACTAATAATACCCCCAGACTTACGCAGGATTCCTCTAGCATCATCCGTGAGAAATTCTGCAAGATTCCTTGACAACTCCGAAATATACAATGACTCAGAGTTGCTCCCACCACCAAGCATATCTTTCGTCGTTACCAAACCAAGGGCACTTGCAACTGCATTGGATTCAGTATTTCCATTTGCATTATTACTGCTCGCGAATGATTCGGCAAGAGCAATGATCTCTTTGGCCGACGCCATCAACGCGTCAAGATCCTCAAAAGCATTTCCTATGACAATTTCATTATTCTTACGGACTTCAAGACGTCTTTGTTCCAGGCCTGCGATTCCAACCGTTTTCGTCCGCTCGCCGCTTGGTGTAGAACTACCCGAACCTGATCCACTATCTGCCCTGACATCACGATTGGCTTTAGGTATCGGAGGAGCATTTTGAAGAAGCCATTTACGCTGTGTCATGGATGCTTTGAGGCGTTCGAGGAACACTTTTTCGCCACCACCTCGAAATGACAATTTGATGCTTTCATTCGTTTCCGTGCCAGGCGCTGGCAGATTATTCAACGTAGGGCCCGGTGACAATTTACGTCGTTGGGAGGGACTTAATCCAGTAGGGAGATCCTGTGACAGTAGTGGGGCCCCGCAAAGCTCACAAGCCATAAGTGATGGGTGGTTCAAGAAGGTACATCTAGGACAAGCAAATGATGCCTCATTGGCTCCACCTGAAGGAGGCCCATCTTGACCTACGCCAGAATGACTTGAGGGTGTATCCCAAGAATCAGATTGTGGACGAGGGGCGTCTGGACGACCTCTCACTGGTAAGGGTGTTTTGATTGGGGTTGTAGTAGAGGCAGCTGGCCTGTTGCCAGCGCTAGATATAGCTGCCTTGAGAACATGAGCGAACGGAGGTTTAATACCACATGCTAAGCATGGGGGTAAGGGAGTGTTTGCATTAGATGTGACTGGATCGAAATTCGACGGGACGGGGTTCGAGAAAGAACAGATAGGACAAATCCATGTGGCACTACTTGCGGGTGTTGGCTCAGAAACTGGCAGATGGAATGGACTATCGGTTCGTGCTAACGGAGATGATGTTGCACTTCTAGATGGAGAATGTAGACTTGCTAGAGCTCGATTTTGGACTGAGGATCGTTTCGAAGGCTTCGGGACAAGAGTAATCTTGGCGGATGATTTCAAAAAACCAGCCTGTAACATTATTAACTTTTTGTAGCCTTGAGAATATGACCAGTAGTTCTTACATAAAATTCATAACGATCAACGTCTTTGAGATCTATTGCTGTAGAATTCCTTCTTGGGTCATCATTGTCTACATAACATATTCGATGAGACGTCAAATAGACCTGACCATTTTGATGATCTGGAATCTTGTATTTCCTGTTTGCAATCTAGGTAAGCACCTCTCTTTCTCGTATTGCTTGCTTGAGCAAACACTTACCCCTCATAAAGCCCAACATTGTCTTGGACAAAGAGGTTGACCTCATCTGGCAAATAGGAAGGCCTCAAAGCAGTCGTGAGGTCTAAGTGTTTTAAAAACATTCGTCCGCGCAAGCCATGTACTGAGAGTATTTCTGATATCTGTTGAAGGACAATGCAGTGCACATCTGCTGGGAACGATGAGAACAAACGATTGCAGCATCTGCAGGCGCTTGTGGAAGGTTAAGACAATTCATATTCACCATCATTCCCTTATCATGATGCAATCAATCATTGCTGCTGTAACTTGGACAATCCTGACTACTCGGACTACCGTAGCGCAAGTTGTTTCCACCCATTCTACCTCGTGACTGATCACAAATGCACCAACTCATTCGGTTAATTGTCAAATTCAACTCGGGCAAACTAGCCATTCTTTCACAACCTCGACAACTATTCCCCCCAAAATCAGACACATTCTAAACACCGTCTTCTGAAGAATCCTTCTTATCAAGACCTTGTCGCGTTTCTTGTATCGCATCACTAATATCTAAGAGCGTGAAAGCATTAGTTCTATATGTACGATACGATGGCTTCACCATGGAACTCCAATATTCCACCGCCTCCAGGTACGACAGGCTCATATGGCTATCCGCAAGGTGAGCAATCCACAGCTGCAGCAACACCTTTTTGTTCCAAAATCCATATACTGTTTTCTAACAAAAATCCTACAGTCGCGCCGATAGTTGCCCCAGCTTATCATCCAGTGCAAGTTCGACAATCATTTAATCAAGTCTCACCCATAATGTATAACCCAGCAGTAATCCCCCAGCAATCATCCTCTCAACCAATACCACCTCCTGTCCAGAAGAAGAGAGACTGGCCACAGTCAGTTCGTAATTACGTTCAACGTTCATTTGATGTCGCGCATGCCATCGCCGGTATTGAACGCCCAGACATGGAGAATATGTTAAAAAAGACGATCACCGAGGCATCCGATACCGATACACTCTTCTCCCGTGATTGGGATAATTATCCTCTTCCTCAACAATTGATACAAAGAGAACGATCAAAGGCGGCCGCTGCATGGCAGCAGGAATCCTTGAATTTTCAACTAGCTACCACCGGTCTTGCAAATTCGGCCAAGAAGAGGAAATCTCTAGAAGGAAGCAGTGATGAGAATCTCGCAGCAATGCCGCCCTGGCGTGCTAACAACCGCACGGGAAATGATGATCGTGCCAATTTAACACCCTCCAAACAACGATTTGATAAGCGACAACAACCATTCCAAGACGATCTCTCCCATAAAGGTACAAGTAAGTTTCAGAAAAACCTAGAGAAGCGACAAAAACGATTTGATGGTGGCTATAAATCTACCTACAAATCCAAGACACCGACACCGGAACCAATGATGGGTCCCCTGATTGGCACGAATACAACGTTAGAGAAAGAGTACTTCCGCTTGACTACTGCACCCGTTGCTTCACAGGTTCGCCCTGAGTACATCTTACGGGAAACGCTAGATCTTTTGAAAAAGAAGTGGAAAAAGGAAGGAAACTATTCTTATATCTGCGACCAATTCAAATCTATGCGACAGGACCTTACGGTTCAGCGTATCAAGAATGAATTTACTGTTACTGTCTACGAAATTCACGCGCGTATTGCATTGGAAAAGGGGGATCTCGGTGAGTATAATCAATGCCAGACTCAACTTCGGGCTCTTTATGCCCAGAAGATTGGTGGTAATCCAGTGGAGTTTAAGGCATATCGTATTTTATATTTTATTCACACAGCTAACCGCACGGCATTGAATGATGTCATTGCGGATCTAACAAAAGCAGAGAAGGAATCCGAAGCGGTAATACACGCATTGAGTGTTCGTTCGGCATTAGCATTGGGCAATTATCACAGATTCTTTAGACTTTACCTCGATACTCCGAATATGGGAGCATATCTTATGGATATGTTTGTCGCCCGAGAACGTTTGGCTGCTTTGTCGAAAATTTGCAGAACGTGAGTCCATTCAATCACAATCGCTCTAAAGGGTCTACTAACACATCGTAGTTACAAACCCGAGGTCAAATTAAGGTTCGTGACGGAAGAACTAGGATTCGAATCCGACGGCGATGCTGCCCAATTCATTTGTGACCACAATGGACAGGCCTTATTAGTAGAGAAAGATGGCGACCTTCGATTTCTTTCTGGCCAGGCCGGTCAGATTTTTGAAACTGCAAAAGCTGAAGCCTTTCGCGCGATTGATATCAAGGGCCAGATATAACACTTTCGTACTTTCCGAATTGGTTCATATATTGCCATCTTTCACCCATTTCGTCATTTTCTTTCACTCCATGGTTATTCCAAGACGCCCTTCACCTTAGATCTATATGATCTAATTTTCCTGATTGGCCTCCCTCGTAGAACGAGATGTGGGTCTAGATGACTGCGCGTTCCGTCTTCATCCGCTTGTCCTTTCACAGAATGGATTTTCGAGTCGACCGAGAACATACTCGAGTTTTCTTTTCCCCCTTCTTCGGTTTCGAATGGGATAAACCCTTTGCACTGTTACTTTCTTTCTCTTTTTTGATGCATGGTGAATATCTAGGTGGAGTTTGTGGTATTGGCGTATAGCGATGGAGTGGAGTGCTAGCCGTTCATGGTAAGCACATTGGGGTCGGAAGTTCAAAGCTCTTTTGTACCTTTGCATGGTGCCAGTGGAGGGAGCATTCGACAGTCTTGCATGGCGTTGCACAAAATCATGCTTGAGGCGATTTATACCGCCTTGTCTTTAGCCTTTTAGCTTATAGAACCCTCGTAGCTCTGTACATACTGCAACTTGAGGCGAGGGTTTACATTGAGTAGTACTGACAAAAGTTTGGAGCGATGGATGGATACTAAATGTAATGAATGAAATTAACCAAAAACTATCATACTATCTTATCAATTGAATCTGAGATGTGCATGTATATTTCTGGCACTATCGTACAATTTTTTAGTATTCTCCAATTCACATCGAGGCACATACGTTGATGTCCTCAATATATAAGGGAAAGCATCTCTTCATGCTTAGAAAATTCTTTTCCCGGACCCTTGTGGGTTGAAAGTAAAAGCAGAGCTGCTTTAATCCGAAGCTCACTTTATCTTAACTACTAACAGTACCTAGTCATTTTTACAAAATAGCTCGTTTCAGATAGAACTTTTGGTGAGTAGTAGCGTCGGTGTGGTGAGGGGTCACGGAAGAGGCAGGGAAGCTTGAGAAGGTGGGAAGAAGGCGGATGGAAGACGGGAAGAAGACGGGAAGAAGCTTGGAAGGTGGGAAGAATGCGGATGGAAGACGGGAAGAAGACGGGAAGAAGCTTGGAAGGTGGGAAGAATGCGGATGGAAGGCGAAGAAGCTTGGGAGAAGGTGAGGAGAAGGTGAGAAGAAGGGTCGCTTGGAGTCTGGACGTTGATGTTGGGGTTGTTGTGTTGTGTTGTGTTGTGTTGTGTTGTGTTGTGTTGTGTTGTGTTGTGTTGTGTTGTGTTGTGTTGTGTTGTGTTGTGTTGTGTGCCATGTGTCATGTGTATTGTGTATTGTGTATTGGGGATGGTGGATAGATGGATGGTGAGTGGCCCATGTTTTTAAGCTTGGGATTTGGGTGAGTGATTTGGTGAGTGACTTGGTGAGTGATTTGGTGAGTGATTTGAGTTTATTGGGGATTAGGATCTGGAGGGAGGGAAGGTTAAGAATGGGGGGTAAGTGAGGGAGTGAGGAAGCGGCGGTTGAGCATGAGGGTTGAAGGGCAAAGGGCGAAGTAGGGGTGGGATTTTAGGGGGAGAGGGGAGAGGGAACAAGGAAGAAGAAGAGGGCGTGAATGTGCAGTTGTTAGCGAAGATAAATGGTGTGTAACAAGAAGATAGATAGAGGATAAATGAAGTGGATTGGGTTGGATCGAATTGGAGTGGTATTGATAGTTTTGATGCATGATGGCTATGATATTTTTATCTACCTATACATAGATACTTATTTATCATGTGGAGAGTAGCTCGATATTGACTTGAATCTGTTGATCAGTATACTTATATTGTAGTTTATATTCGATGGGTGAGTTTAATAGATATCGGAGCATTTAGCTGGGTAATGAATTGGTTGATTGGTTGATTGATAGAATGATAGAATGAAAGAGTAATGTAGTGATATAGTGTAGAGTAATAGAGTAATAGAGTGAGTATTATCGAAAACTATTGTGGATATATTGAATTCTGGAACATGAAGGTTGGTTGTTTGGATTTAGAGGAGGTAGAGATCAGAGCGGTGATGAAGGTTGAGAAAAACTAAGTCGCAGCGTCAATCGCAGAGTCTAATGAATCGTACGAATATCAATTTTGTCTAGGGACAGCTCTGTGTATGTAGTACCTGCAGTTGAGAGGAATTCTTTCTGATATAGATTGTATGGTTAGTTGGTAGTTTGATGGTGGGTTGGAGATAGTGAGGAATGTTATTCAAGACTGGAATATACTAGGTAGAGGGATGAGTTGGATACTAGATAGGTGAGAGAGTAGGTAATAAAGGAACAGAATTCTCAGATTGGAAGAATTATATTGATGGATTATGTAGCTTATTGTGTATGTATTAGTCTTGTGTAAAATGTAAGGTGTGAATAAATAGGTGATAAGGTGTGATGAAATAAGAAACACATTGAAGAGTTTGATTAAAACATGAGAAAGGGAGCGATAGAAGATTTTGTGAGAAGAGCTATTAGTTACACAAAAAGGAAGAAGGAGAATAGAAGTAAGATAATTTTACAACACCACCCAATATATCCTCAATTATCTGTAGTGTAAAATGAATAGTTATACAGAGTAGAAATATCCAATCACAACCACAATAACAAAATCACCATAATCATTTTCACAACTCCAAACAAAACCATCCCTCTCCCTCCTCACCTCTCTCCCCTTGAAAACTCCATCATCATCATATACCCCCTCTCATCCTTCCCCTCCCACTCTACAAAACAAAACAAAACAACCCATCTCGTTACATCATAATATACCTCGCTGCGTTTCAACTTCTCGCTAAGTACCACCCTCAAGCTCAGGGACTCCACATGCCACATGCTGCATACGGTTCCATGCTGTCCCTGCTTTCTTGCTTCTAGAGTCTATAAATCAAGGGGAAGAAGTACAGATGGAGTAGAAGATATAGAGCAGGCAAAAGCTCGATGGATGCACGAGAACTGGAGTTGGAGTTGGATGTGTGGAGAGTTGGAGAGGTGTTGGATAGTAGATGTGGTGGTTTGTGTTAGTTAGTTGTTTAGAGGATATATATAACGTGGTTTATCAGTGAGTGGGTTATATTAGTGAATAAATCATTTTCACTTCAATTTACACTTTCAAAATTATATTGTTCAACAACAATTGAATTAATTAATTGAAATTATAAAGATTCTAATAATCTAGAATTTATTATATTATTTTGACAGATTCTTATATTATAACCTGTCTTTTTATATTTACTATAACATTAAATAGAAAATACTTCTTTATTAAATTTACCCTCTTTTTAATACTTATTATATTGAATTTAAATATCAATCTTTTATTAAAATAATATATCAAAAACCTTTTATTCAATGAATACTTTTTCTTAATATAATTAGATTTTTTTCGTATATTAATATTTACTTAATACTTCATTTATTATTCAAAATATATAATTCTTTATATTTAAAAATATTTTTTTATAAATTAATTTTTCTATACTTTTAACTAGAATTAATATAATTTCAAATATAGATATAAAAGAGCTTACTTGATAATAAGTTATTCGAAATTTAATTAATATTAATTAAAAAAAAGTTTCAATTAGGTTACAAAGGGTTTAAAAGATCTATTAATTTAAATCGAAAAAGAGAAGAGTAGATATACAAATTTGAATATCTAATTTTGAAAGTACAGCTTCAGAATTAAATAGAATTAAACCTATTCCTTGGAATTCTAATTTTATATTCTGAAAGATAATTGATTCTTTATATACAATTTTAAAAGCTATAAAGAATTCAATCTTCAAAATATAATTAATATATATCTTAATAAATCCATTAATTTAATTATTATATAAACATTTCAGATGTTACGACGGCATCCAATATACCGCGTCACATGGTCAGGAAGTCACGTGATGGACCTAGAGGATCTAGGGGATCGAAGAATAAACATCTAGATCCATAGGATCCAGAGGATCCAGACAAGACAGAACTGTAGGTTCTGCAGAGCAGGAAGGTCTATATAAGAGAACAGATTTCATTACAATGTAGAGCTTCGTGCTCAAGAACAATCATTAGTTTCATTACTATAGTTACGAGAATTGCAACCAGTTACAACCTTATTGAATTCCTACTTGAAGTCTAGTCTAAACCACCTCGAGAGATCTCTAGACACTTCCACGTGACCCTAGAGGCAGCTCCCGTAACATCAGATTACTAAAATAATTAATATTAAATAATTAAATTAAATAATTTGAATATAATAATAAATATAAACATATAATATTATTCTTTTTATAATATACTTGAAAAGCTATTAATTTATAATTTTCATATTTATTTAGTATTAACATTCGATATTTACTCTTTTTTCAATTCTTAATATACTTATTGAAATATTTCAATTATTCTAAATCTGTTTTATTATTCATTCATCTATTAAATATAGATTTAATAGCCTATTTCGTAGAAAGATTTGTTTTAATATATTAATTAGAAAGATAAACTTGTTTTTGAATTATTAAAAATGAAGGAATAGTTTCATTCTTTTTATTTCTATATATTATTATTATAGTTCATTCTCAATTGTCTAGTTGTACTACCTTACTTTTACTATTTTATTCAATATTAATTATTATTATTACTATATATATAATCCTTATTATAAAGTCTATTTTATCGAAATTATAGAAATCTTTATTCAAAATGTTATATTTCGCTTGTATATTTACAATTAATTGAAACCACTTTTCAAAGAATTTAGGATTCTTATAGAAAGCTCTTTGAAAGTTATAAATATGATTAAAACATATCTTTAATTCGATTCGATATTTTACAAATTAATATATCTAAAGCTTTCTAATACATTTCATATCTCTTAATTTGAGAATATGATTTACTATATCTTTTATATTCTTAAATTTAAATAAAAACCCTTTTAAATTTATATCAATTATATATTTAGAAATAATATTCTTTTTTAATTCTGAAAGATTATAAAATTTAGATCGATATTTAGAATAAAAGTAAAATTTTTGATTCTATATTATAATATTATATTCAGGATATTATATATTTTCGCAACTTTTTGAATACTTTTATTTTTATTTTTCTGAATAGCTTTAATAATAAGGAATATACAAGCTTTTTGATTATTCGAATTCATTATGAATTGTTAATAAAATACATATTGAAAGAGAAGAGTGTAAATTGAGATGAAAGTGACCCATTTATTAATATAACCCATTCACTGATAAACCACGTTAGAGGGAGAGTTACTACGTAAATCTGAAGCTATTGTTATTTTCTTACGATATATATAATACTTTTGACACTTTTGATTCTGTTGATCTCAAAGGTAACACGAAACACAGAAGGAAAATCTACTAATTAATATATTCAAGTAAAATCTAGACGCAGTAAAAGATAGTATTACTCAATTACCTGCTTCGGACATGTAAGGCACGGTACAGGAGGTGGCTTTACTTTACATTATGATTATATTACCTAGCCTCGAGACCTCCTGGTATGTAAAAGGAAGTGGAGGTGTTTAGAAAAAGGAATTTAGAATTAATTTATTCAAGACGGGGGATTGAGGGGTTGAGATGTTATGATTTGAGGTGAGATTGAGAGTTTGATTGTATGTATATACCGGTATATGATATGAATGGATGTCTACTATAATGTATTTGAAAAGAAAGAAAAAGAAAGAATGGAAAGGTTGGAGAGGGTATAATGATAAGTATATAAAGAAATTGATATTCAAAGTTAAACAGAAATAAAATCTCTATTTTATTCATATAGTATTTCTTTCCATTCTTTCCTACAAAGATACTTGATCTCCAATCATATCAAAGTCCAAAAGGAATTACGAAGTATATATGCCTACTTAGATACTTGATCAGCTCTCAAGATACCTACATACCTACCTACCTACCTACCGATCCATCTTCCGTACCCACACTCGTATACTGGGAGGAAACAAGCACACACACAACGATATAATCCCATACGAAGTAGGAAAGACACACTCCGTACACGGGCACAATAAACCCGCTCAGCCCTGAAATGATGGGGCATTACCGCATCTAGCCGTTTCCACGTTTCACGTTCCACTTTCCACTTTCCCACTTCCCTCGTGAGTCAAGCGTGTCGCCGTTGAGGATGGGTGGAGATTGTGTGGAAGAGGGATTATGATTGGAGGGAGAGGTGGTGAGTTTGAGACATGCTGAGGAGGGAGTGAGGAGATGTGCTGATGCAGGTCCCGGGTGTTTAGATTGATTTTGTTATTTCTTATTGGAGAGGGGAGAGGGG